CATAATTCGTGCCAAAGGTGACTAAATCGAACAAATTTAAATTTATTCTAAAATTTGATGGTATTTCCCACATTTTTTGCTTTCATCCAAATAAAATTTAAAAAAAAAGTAAAAATTATGGCGTTTGACTTTGCTGCGGTTTTTATTTTATCCCACCCTGTATGAGACATAGTTCTAAAGTATGTGTCATAGTAAGTTTTAACAAGAGAGAGAGAGAGAGAGGGCCGAAGAAAACGGGAGATTTATCTCATTCAACTTCCTTCTCCATAAAACTTACTTTTCTTTTCCGCTTACCTTCCATGCCTACTCCCACTTGTTTCCGAATTAATAATTACAAAGCTAATTGAAAATATATCCTCCCTGAAAGTTTCTAGACCCTTAAACCATTCAAAATCCCACCCTAAAAACCTTTGCAGCTACGCCCTTATTCAAATGACAAAATCTATTCAAAAAAAATGTTTTTACACAAAGTTTTCAGCGCAGGCAGAAACTTCTTCTAACAAACGCTGGCGAGCCTATGTCAAAGCTACAAAATGTTCACTGAATTTTGGTGCTTCTTTTCTTAAATTTAATTTCGCTTCTTTTTGATTTGAAATTTCTGTTTTTTTCTGTTTTCGTTTCTTTGGGAAACTTCATTCTCAGCTCTGAGTCACACATAATGCGAATTTGAATGGTCCGTCAGTCGGATGTGTCGGCGGCTGCGATGGTGGTTAAAAACCAAAGCGAGGACCAGCAACACCGATCTCCGTTCGGACTAATGGCGGCAAAGACAATAAATTACCAAAACATGATACCAAACAAACAACAACAACAACGACTACATTTTGTTGGTTCTTTTTTTTTTTTTTTGATGGTTCTCCTCTTTGATATTGGGCTTTTCTTATTTGCAGGGCAGGACAAACAAGCCCCGCAACAAGGAATAGCAATTTTAAAATTTCTTCCACCACAACCATCGTGGTGCGGAGTACCCTTTGCTACTTTCGGATGCTGCTGCTGCTGCCACTGCTGCTGTTATCATCATCCTACATGGACTTGTATGCAACATGCTTATGCAAAAGGTAACCACTCTTGAGCATTTTTTCAATTTTGGACTTTGCCAAGAAATGTCAATTCTTAGTTAATGCCGTGGCCTTGTATAATTGGGGCCTTTTGGACACCGGAATCCCTTTGTGCTAAAGCGACACTTTTTTCCATCCTCTCCTCTGCGCGCGTGTGTGTGTGTGTGGAGAATAAATAAAAGACCGCGAGGAAGAGAAAGACAAAATTGAAACAAGAACAACAAAACGTTTAATCGTACAGAATTGTTTTTGTTTGCTGACTAAACTAAACACTCTGGATATTTTATCCGCAGAGATAACCTATAAAAAAAAGAACGATCACAGAGAACGGTTTGACATACAAATATGGTTATCGTGGGAAAATGTTTGCCACAAAGTCGAATTTTGTGAAGAAAACTAATTTTTGAGAAATAACATCAAGGTGTTGAAATTGGGTTGACTTTTTGGAGATGAACAAAGTGAGAGTTGTTGAGGACATTTTGTATGGAGATATAATGCAAGTATATGGCTGAGGATATACGAATGTAAATATGTGTAAATATATTGTTTTAAGGTCCTATGATATGAATAGGAAGGGGTTATCATTTATAGGCGAATAAAAATGATACATTTAATTTTTTGATATAATGCATTTGAAAGGCATTTCTGGCTGATTTTACTATGGCTTTTACTTGACCAATTTGCTTTTGAAATGGTTAAAAGAGAGATAGAGAGAGAGAGCTATTCACCGAATTGTTTTCTCTGGAATTTGGCAACAAGTTTTACATACTTCATCAAGAACTGATGACTGTGGATGATATGCCTACGCTTGAAAGCTTTATCTCAATCTGCCGTACATAAAGTAGAGTTATCTTGCGTATACGTTGTGTTAGCACTCATACGCCCTTGATACCTTTAATTATTTAAAGATAAATAAGTACAATATACTTTAAATACAATTTCTTATATTCTCGTATTATTTTAAAGGCAAAACTAGAAGACATTTTAAATTCTCTTTCTGCACCATATTAGTCAATCAGAAGTTAAAGGCCATATTTTTACACGGCTAAATTCACCCTGTAAAATATTTGTACGTGTTCTCTATATTTCGACACCCCCCCCCCCAGTGGATAATGCCTCAGGACTGAATTCTTGGTAACCATTTATGAGGGGCCGCACACCGATGCTCCGTAGGTCCGGTGGAATATCTCTCTACAAAAATTACTTAATATACATCAAAGTTGTGAATAACCCACAATTTAAGGTATTCTTAAAAACATTTTTTTTAACAGAAAGAGGCTGCCACCATAACTTCTCTCAAAAATATCCAATACAAAAACTGCCCAAATATATAGGGTGAGATAGAAAAACTGCAACCAAATTTAGACTGCTGTCATTCCTAAGCCACTCGTCCGACAGCTGTTAGAATTATTCCAGTGATAGCTCATTATATTGTTTACAAGCTTACTAAAGCATTCAAGAGACATTTTTTTGGAAAACCACAAGTGGCTATCGTTAGAATACTCCAGCATAGAGCACTCCAGCATTTTAATCTTTTGTATCTCGTACCATCGCTCGTTACCGTGATGCTGGTAACGTAGGCCGACGTCAAGGAAGTGGACGGAAGAAAACAGCAACATCAGCAGAAATGGTTCGAAAAGTAAAGAAGCGACTTGATCGAAACCCGCGTTGCAGTGGCCGAAAATGCCTCGTGAACTGAACATATCGCAATATTTCATTCGGCAAATACTGAAAAATGAGCTCGGGCTAAAGTCATTGATATTCCAAAAAGTGCAAGAACTTACACCGCAACAGAAAGAAAATAGACTCAAAAGAGCTAAAGAATTACCTCGCTTGCCCGAAAGTGGTAAACTGCCGAATTTGGTTTTCTCCGATGAGAAAATATTCGTTGTCCAGCAATTTGTTCTTTGTCCAGCAAACAAAATGATGGTGTTTACTTGCCAAAGAGGTCAGCTGAAAATGTGCACCTTCGGTTGGCCACCAGAACTCAAGCGCCGGCCATGGTGATGGTGTGGGCCGCCATAACAGCCCATGGTCGCTATCCGTTCGTATTAATTGACAACATTCGGGCAGCGTGTGACGGTTTCATTGGCCGTTTGAAGGCCATAATTCGTGCTAAAGGTGACCAATTCGAATAATCTTAACTTATTCTAAAATTTGATGCTATTTCCCACATTTTTTGATTTTATTCAATACAATTAAAAAAAATGTTTTTTTTTCTCACCCTGTACAGTGGTGCTCTTTTTTTTAGGCAAATTATGTGGTATTTGTCATTTAGATTTCCGGCGGAATAACATTTGACAAAAGTATTGAGCCAGAGGCAAATGGTCCTTAAAAGGTGAAGCCTTTGATGACATTCAGCTGCAAACAATCGACAATTGGACCGACCGTATAGACTACTTCATGGCCAGCCAAGTCAGGCATTTGAATGAAATTATTGTCCATTTTTAGCCGAAAGGATTGTACTTTTAAATAAAAAATATTCAGTATTTTTTAAGCATTTTAAAAAATGTTATTTTCCGGACCAATACAATACAATATAGTACTATAATGTGGGCTCTGGAACACAAATATTATTGAAAAACTTCAGTCCGGAGAAGTTGTAATATTGGTAATATTTTGAGCCCACATTCGAAGTAAGCCAGTACGTATAATTGTTGCCACAACGTATACGCTATGATGGGTGTGAAGCCTCTATTAATATTTCCAGACTTGAACTTCTCTGAAGGCTTTGACTTCATTTTTGAAAATATATTTGCGTAATTTTTGACCAGCAAAACATTGACAGACCGCTTCGGGCTTTTATAGGCTGTTTAGGACGTAACAAATTCTTATATTGTTCGTTTCAAAAAAGTATTATATTTTTGTATCCATCATCATACGATGTTGGGTGACTCGAAATTCCTGATACATATAAAATCCTGTCTTCTAAAATCGAGATGGAGGCTCCGATATTTCCTGAGGATCTTTGAAATTTGGCAAAAACAGGTTTGTGTTACGTCTACGATACCTGGTTTTGGAATAAGACCATATCGTTCCAAGTCTAGATATGGTTTCCGTATAATGACATCTACAAATTTTCCATATTTTAAATGCATCCGCCACAATTCCCCACTGAATCAACATGGGCCGGAAGTTGATTTAGTGGCGGATATTTACATATTCCTCGCGTGGAAGTGGTCGGCAAGCGTCGAGAGATAGGTGTTCAACCTATATACATATCTAGACCGGGGCCCGACGCCAAGATCTTACAATCACCCGCATGCATTAAGATCTTTATGCCGTCTGGAATTCCGGAAAGGTAGAGGTTAAACAGTTCCGGAGATATCACCCCACCTTGTGTAACTACATGTTTCACTCTACGGTGATTGGACTTCTAGTTCTGTTCTGGCTTGTTTTGGTTTAATCCTCGACTGATGATGTTTATGGTTGCAATTGAATAACTTTCTCCGAAGCTGGGGAGGAGTAAAGCCCCAAAAGGATTTACTACAGAAAAAATATTTCTCGGGACTCAACGGACGAAATATGATCTTGTCGATCTTTTTAAATATGGTCTAAAAATTCACAAATTGGGATTGGCGCATCCGCCATGACTACTTTATTGCTTTAAACCTAGGTACAATGAATAGTTTTGAAAAAAAAATTGTAAAAATATGATTGCATGACTTTTCCTTCTAAATTCTACCGTGGAACCCACTGACAAAATATGAATTTTTCCCAGGAAATGTGCCAATAAAGTCTTAAACTGGATCACTTTGGGGTGACGGGTCATGGTAAACATACGAAAAATTGTTTCCAAAAAAAATTGTTTTAGCCAAGAAAAGGTAATTTTATTTTGAGTAATGGTATGAATGCCTTTTTGCTCCCTCAAAATTGTAAATTAAAATATTTTCCAATAGATTTTTTAAAAAAAAATCTTCAAAAATAGTTTTCCAAACTTACCCTTTCATATTGATAAAATGAGCGACTTGGTCCAGCACGGCCATATAAATATGGATAATAAGCACCGTACATTACTTCAGGGCAGGATACTGCCATGGTAGGCTCTCTAAACGTGGCTTAAAATTCTGATATTGCAAATCAGAAAACACGTTTACAAATGAAAATGGCAAAGCAAAAAAACACACAGCCAAGAACAAGACTGCCACAGCTTCCTCTGACCAGAGGTATATTGAATCACTTTGCCGATAATAGCTAACGTTTTTTTTTTTTGTCTTTTCTGTTTTAGATTGTTTTCTTCTGCTGCTTCGGCGTTGCCGTTGGCCGGCCAGATGTTGAAACAAGTTCGTCGTTTGGCAGCTGGTGCTTCTCGTTTGCAAAAAATGAAGAAAAAAAGACAGAGCTTTCTCTATGTAATTGTAATTTTAATTTCCTCGACTATCTGCGGCTCTCATGTAATTACAGATTTAATTGTATTTTCGTTTGTTCAGCGGCAATGCCAGAGCTTGTTTGTTATTGTTTTACACTGGTAATTGTTGTGGATGTGGTGTTTTTTTCTCTTTTTTTCTTTAATTTCTTTGCTGTTAGATTCTAAGAAATAAAATCATCCATTGTCTGCTTGTTACATTTACATATGATTACTGTTGTTGTAGTTGTTATTATTGTTGTTGTTGCTACTTTTTCACTTGAATTTCTTGTATTTTTTTCGCTTTGCGTTTCCTTTTTTAATTTTCAATTTCAATTAACTATAATCATTAGCAAACACACACACACGCGTATTACATATCTACACATCCATGTACTTGGTTTGTTGGTCTTTTCTTTTTTTTTTCTTTTTATAATTTCACAGTAATTGATGCACTGCCTGTCTGTCTGTCTGACTGTCGACCGGGGGGGTTACTATCACTGAAACATTTGCAGGTATTTCATTTTTATTTTAAACAATTGTAATTGTTGTTGTCAGTTGCTCGTAAAATCCCCTGATGTCGGGGATGAGTTAGTTGGGCGAGTGAACGCTCTGCAATGGAACAATATTCACTGTTGGTAGACGAATCACGAAACACCGCTTAAACCGCCGCACCGTTATTGTAATTAGAGGTTGTTGTTTTTTGTATTTTATGTTTATCTCTTTCTATTATTTGTGCACATTTTCTGCATTTGTCTCAGAGCGTTTGTTTGAAATCTAAAAAGAAAAAACAAGAACAAATATGTAACAATTTGAAGAAAATTTAAATATTGTTTTTTTTTTAATTTAATATTTGATATAATAATAACAATAATAATAATAATAATAATAATAATAATAATAATAATAATAATAATAATAATAATAATAATAATAATAATAATAGCATATTGATAAAAGAATGGGTGATCGAGTTGGACACATTAAACTTTATTACTTCCTAAAAGCTATGACCTAAATAAAACATGAACCGCTACAATGTCAGGGATCCGACATACAGGATGAGATGAAAAAACTGCAACCAATTTCAGACTGCTGTCATTTGTAAGCCACTCGTCCGACAGCTGTAAAAATTATTCCAGTGACAGCTCATTATTTTACAAGCGTACAAAAGCATTTTGGTGATAGTTTTCCAGAAGAAAAGTTATTCGTGATAGAATTCAAGCGTGATAGTGTGCACGCAAACATTCTAGCCGCAGACCTTGAACATTCCAACAGGACTCAGCACCATCGCACTCAGCCCGCACCACCCAAGAAGTTTAAAAAATGAGGTTCCTCGCTTCATTTCCAGCGCACAATGGCCAAATCGACCGTTATTGTTAAACATAAAGGATTCCTACAGAAGAAACTCCAACATTTTCATCCGATTATTAATATTCAAGAGTTTTTATATAATTTGAGAATTGTACTGGAATATATATATATATATATATAATTACACGGTCTTTTTGTACACGGTTTTGATATAACACGGTTTGAAAATTGAATATTTTTAATTTATTTACACGATTTTATTCCACTTAGCACGATTTGAAATTTTATGTACTTAAATTTTTTTGTCAAATTTAATTTTTGCGAAGTATGTTCATGTCACAAAAAAGTATTTATATTTATTAGCTTAAAGATTTAAGTGAATTCCCCTTTAGCGCGTACAAACAATTTTTACTGGTTTGGTAAAGAAAAAATAAAAATTCTTGTTTTTCACTAATTTTAATAGGTTTTAGAGATTAGGAACAAATCACCCATTTTTGTATAAGATCAATGTCTTTTTTACACGGTTTTTTTTACACGGCTTCTTCTGGAACCAATCTACCGTGTAAAAACAGGCTTAGGTGTATATATGTTAATTAATGATAATTGTGGACATTTACAAACGGTGCCCTCTACTGGCAGAAAAGCACTATTTAATAAAAAAACTCTACAAATTTAATAAAAGATTATTCAAACTTTATTATTTCAACAACTATACAAAATTTGAAATCTGAATAAGTTGACGTTGTTATAATTGAAAAAATGCACTCAGAATGATGAAAGATTGAAGAAGACAAAATCCTAAAAGTTCCCTATGTAAACCAGCAAAATTGTTGCAGGTTCTGAAACAGAGCATTTATTGATCTAATTTATATATTCATTTTCCGAACCTACCTTTATGATTTGAAATTTGACGTAAAAAAACAGAAATTTGGGGGTATCCCAAATATCCTTGACTCATATTGCCGTTAGTAAATTTTAAATTATTCCAATTATTCCAACTGGAAATAACTTGAATTTTGAATAACATTGTGAACTCGATAAACGTCCTAATTTACATTAGGCTAATAGCTAGTTGCCCAAACATTATTTTATATCGAAAGCAGAAAAGTTTTGTAAATACACAAAAAATTACTTGAAATAATAACAATAATTCCTTGTTTGATTTTTGAAAATAGAAGGTAGAAGAAATGTATTTTCAAGGAAAAATATTACACCAATATTAAGTTGAATATTGTCCTGTTAAGAGGAGGAAGTGAATATAATTAGAAAGTCTCCTTAGAATTTTAACAAGCTATTTTTATCAAGTATAAAGGGACCGTCGGAAATGTGGTTCATAGGGGGTATGTCACACAATGGTATAGACCCGAAAATCTACCACAAATCCGATCTTCAGCCTACGCCAAAGGCGATTCTATAAAAAGGGAAAGGGTGCATTTAACAATCCGATAAGATCAAAGGAGTTCCAAGACATGTCTGAATCTGACAGTCTACCGCAGGACCAGTTATCATTTCGAAAAAAAAATTATCTATTTCATATAAAATATACAAAAATTGTCCAAAAATTGTAATTTCAGTGAGGACCCGTACGTTGCTGGTCCTTCGTAATTTATCTTGCTTTGGATACATTAACTGATTTATTATTAACATGTTGTACATTGAAAAGTCAACATTCGCTAAAGTCTATAATTTCGATAGAGGAAAGGCAAGGAAAATTCAACTTCCCAGCCGACGGTCAATCACTCAATCATATGTCTGATTATGCAAATCTTTGAAGCTATAAACATGGTTAAAAGCCTCATAAACAATGCGCGTTTTATACAAGTACCTACGTTTTTAATTTGACGCATGTGATCCACGTAATGGATAATTCAAATGTGTGCTTTTGTCATTAAAACGTATTTGATATTTATATAGCTGCAGTGTGGAAAAATCATAACCTTTGTACGAAAATATTATTTTTTAATGAGAGGTGATAGCAAATCATATGACCTTAACCTGCGAAATATGAGAAACAGTAAATGAAATAAATAAGGTGTTCCATAACTATATTGAGGCAAGAAAATATCAAAAATATCAATTCTCTGCAGCGAATTAAATCAGATATCTTCTAATTTAGTTTTGGAAGTAAATATGTTTGAAACAAACTCGGGAAAAAATTCGAGCAGCAGTGTTTAAAACTGTCTAAAGAATTTATGGTAAAGCACTTTTGTAACATTTATTCTTTCTTGTTTGACAATTTCAAACAACAAAAATTGAAACAGGAATATGTCGATATCCGTGATCTGTTCCAAAACCTGCAAGAATCTTCCAGTTTTGCAATTTTCTTAAATATCATAAAGGGAAAATCGATGACCGATTATTCGATTATTATCTTGCAGTTCTGGAACACACCAATATTCTTCTTTCAATATTTTTGAAATGAAAATGAAAACAAAAAATGCATCCGAATTTTAGGAGTTTTGTGTTTGGAAAAACAAAACAAAATATTAAAATTGTCCGAAAACAGGAAAAACGTTGCAAATATTTAAATTTGAAAAAAAAATATTTATATTTTTATTCGAAGTGGTCCTGCTTGACATTAGGTCAAAGACCCATTCCACGGTAATCAAACTTTCCATTTAAACATAGTTGTTATTATTTAATCTATCTCACTCAACTCTTCAAAAATTTTTAAAATAAAAATATCTCAAAACACTTTTATAAAAAATAGGAAAAAAACATACCGTTATACCATAAATAAAACAGCTAATCCCACAAATTATGCCTGAATTGAATGTCGCTTTCAAAAGAATGTCGTCGTTGTTGGTGTCGCGTTGAAAGCAAATACTTTAAGCTGATAATGAATCACTTTTTCATTGAGAAAAGTAAAAAGAATTTCAGAATTTCTTTAAATATTCACTAAACATGTAATTAAAATTCTCACGTGAATTTTTTAGATTTTTTTCAAGCATTCACAATTTGGACACCACATTTGTTTCTTTCACTTTTTTTTTTTGGTTTTCACATTTAAATGTTGCGGAAATTAAAGAATGCGAAAATGTCTGGGCCGCAAAGACATTCATTCATTCATATACGAAGTAGGTATGTATGTATATATACGTCACACATCTGTGGTTGTGTGTGTGTGTGTGGATTTACGTACACTCTAAAAACGTGGACTTGTGTTTGTTGTTATCTATTTTATTTTTTCCAAAATAAATATTTTGTTCACTTGATTGACTGCTTAGAATTTCTTTAATTTTTGGTTGTACCGTTTATAACATCGCACCGTTGTATTCACAATTGAAATTGAAATACCCATTCCTGTTGTAGAAAGTTTTCTTTGCTATTGTTTTTGTTGTTCATCACAAAATGCAACACTGTAATTAAGTCCAACAGAATCCGTCCGTTCTAAAGAGACGTGCGCATTCGCCGTATTTAAACAAGCAACTGTCTAATAATATGCCTGAGAAGTATTTACGCCACAGCCATGATTTTCCCCCCAACCAAATCGTGAAACAACTACTCTCCATAAGAATCTAAAAGGAAGACCTTATGGATTCCTTGTTAGGCTCTACTCACCATGGGTGGGAGTGAAACAACAACATATACTTCATTTGAAGTTCATTTCCATTGGTTGCTTGATATGCATTTGTTGGTATGAGTGTAAGTTTTGTTTGTTTTTTCTCAGCTCCACCCCTCATTGAGTATGGATCACACTCTCTTTCTCTTTTTGTCTCACATATGTCATAACTCATTTTATTAGATTTTGTTTTTTTTTTCTCTCTCTCTCTCTCTTTTGAATGTACTGTTTGTTCATGTAGCTCTTTTTGTTGAGTAAAATAAAATGGTGCTAGTTGTATCCTCTCAGCATTGTTGTTATTCTTGTAGTTGTTCCTGTTTTTTTCTTTTTTGTTGAAAATGAGAAGGGGGTTTCTTTCTCTGGTTGGGTTTTTAGTGGAGACATGCATTTATGGTCGCTACATGTGCATGCCTACATATGTGTGTATTCGGGGAGTTTTTTTGTTCCTTCTTTTTCGATATCTTGTACCTATTTTCGTTTTATTTTAATGATGAATTTCCCTATTGTTTTCCATGCAAATAAGCTGAGAAACAATGTTGGGTGTTGGGTATGTCTGCATGTCGTTGTTGTAGTTGGTTTTTTTTCCTAGTCTGTTTGCGGTCATATCTGGTATTTAAAGTGTCTATAAGCCGACTGCTCATTAACTAATGGATTACATTTGAAATAACATTCTCTTGTGGGAACTCTCATGGATGGCATTTGGAATCTTCAGGTTTGCCTCGTTCTTTGATATGATTTATTGTGATAGTTTAATTAAAATGGACCTTGACGAAGTAAATCATAGATATTCTATGGAAGGATGTGTGGTGTCTTTTCTAGCCATACGAGTTACATAAGTTACATGGAGCTTTGTTTAGACGTGTTTTTGGTAAACAATTTAAAAAAAAATGATTTTTGGTTTATTTGGGTTTAAGTTTTAAGAATGCACCTAATTCAATTCGTTTTTTAGCCGAGAATAAGATATTCACTGACATAGTTTATTGCACCACGAATAAGCCAAAAAATATTAATATGTTTCTATTGAATAAGTAGGCGACAACAGACAAGAGGGCCAAAATAAATTTTGGACTTCATATGCGGTCAGGACATATACATAAGGGCCAGTAATATTTTGTGCCTTACAATCGTTTTTTTCAGGATTTTAAGTTTGGAATTGTAAACAAAAAACTTTGTTCTCACCCATATAAAAAAAATGTTGTATTCGGTGGCAAACAAACAAGCAAACCTCCACTTTCAAAATTATAAACTAAAAATGTGTTTATATTGCAATTTGTTGTGGTTCCGGTTCCTTAAATGGTTTGAGTTTCCGACTCCGCGGAACCAACCCCACACTCGGAACTGGAAAATTGTTAGGTATTTTCGAAATGTTTGCTAGCAAAATTTAATTATTTTTTGGCTGTTGCCACACCCCGAAATAATCACGGAAGGCATTTCTGAATACTCCTGTCGAAACATAGGGTATGTGTACCAGTATTAGGTACATTAAATTTTTATTGTCGTCATACCGATTTTTTGTAAGGAAAAATAATATATTTATTTAAAAAAAAATTAGGTTCGTCGTTGTTATTACTACTTTTAAATTAATAAAAATTACAAATTTTTTAAAGATATCAAATCTCTTTGAGATTTTTCGAGATTTTAAAATATGGCTAAAAGTGGACAAACTCTTTAAAATCATTTTATTTGTTAACTAATAATAATAATTTAAAGTATTTAAGAATCCTTAATTTTTTCTGTTCCAGAAGTTGGCATCATAAAAAATTTGCCAAAATTATAATTATTTTCAACAATATTTGTACCTATGTTCCCGAACTGCAAAAATGTAAAAGTTTTTACTACGATAACCGATTTTCCCTTTATGATATTAAAAAAATTGCAAACATAGTAGATTCTTGCAGTTTCTGGAACAGAGCAATTCTTGTCTAAAAAGTTCTTCTTTCAAAATTTGTTAATTTTTACATAGTTAATTTATTTTTTTTTTTTCTTTAGAGTATGCATTGTATCGCTCGCGATGAAGGTGCAAAAATAGCTGGGTATTAAATAAGAGGATATAAAAAGCAAACAGACATGGTTCAAATTTTACAAATTCAGTTACAGGTTGAGATGAAAAAACTGTAACAAATTCAAACGCCATAATTTTTACCTCACCTTTGGCACGAATAATGGCCTTCAAACGGCCAATGAAACCGTCACACGTTGCCCGAATGTTGCTCTGCGGTATTTTGGTCCATTTCCGGCGAAGCAATTGGAAAAGTGCCAAACTTGCTTTCCAAAATACTCCAGACACAATAGTCCAAGGGATTGGTATCCGGATATTTTGGTGGCCATCGTGCACTGGAAATGAAGTGAGGAACCTCATTTTGTAACCATTCTTGGGTGGCGCGTGCTGAGTGCGATGGTGCTGAGTCCTGTTGGAATGTCCATGGTCTGCGGCCAAAATGTTTGCGAGCCCAACCAAGGCTTTAATACAACCTCCAGAATATTTTCTCGATAATATTCGGCATTTTAATCGATCGATTAATACGAGCGAAGAGCGACCATCGGCTGTTATGGCGGCCCATACCATCGCCTTGAACGGCGCTTGAGTTCTGGTGGCCAACCGAAGGTGCACATTTTCCGCTGACCTCTTTGGCAAGTAAACACGATCATTTTATTTGCTGGACAACGAATGTTTTCTCATCGGAGAAATCCAAATTCGGCAGTTCACCACTTTCCGCCAAGCGAAGCAACTCTTTAGCTCTTTTGAGTCTATTTTCTTTTTGATGCGGTATAAGTTCTTGCACTTTTTGGAATTTCATGCGGTACCCCGAGCTCATTTTTCAATATTTGCCGAATAGAATTTCGATCAAGGTTTCGATCAAATCGCTACTTTACTTTTCGAACAATTTCGGCAACTGAGAGTAACTGAGAGTTTGTAAATTCTCACTGGAAATATTTACACGGTGGTGCTCTGTTCCAGAACCTGCAAGATTCTACTAGTTTTGCTATCGATATCATAAAAGGAAAATCGGTTATCGCATTAAAAACTGTTACTTTTTTGCAGTTCTGGAACAGACCATAGGTGTGTGAGATAACCCAATGTTTTATAGAAATATATTTCAAAATGTTGCTCGTTAACCCAAAAATCCAGTTGTTAAGAGCGAGTGAAAAGAGCAACAGTTGAGTTACTGAGAGTTTACAAAATCTTACTGGGTAAATTTACTCTGTAAAAATTATCCTGTAACATCAGCTGATTGAAAAATAACTGTTTTGTGGCCAATTGGTGCAATAACAAGGTTTTTCTGCAAATTTTAAAAACTAAATGTAATGTCAACATTTGTTTACATTTTTATGGCACAACATTTAGTAGTCAGCTGAAATGGGGCCTTATACTTATTTCAGTAAATGAGAGCAAGTGAAGATTGCAATTTTGACAGCTCATTTACTGAGAGTTTTCAAGTTCTTGCTGGGAACAGGGTCTTAGCATGGCCTTTATAAATTTGATCATGGTCCAATTATAAGGTCCCCCATCAACGCCAGCTGGCTACAAAATTTAATTTAATTTAAGTCACAAAACAAAAGTTTGCTATCAAAAGACAAATTTTTGATTTAAAAGTCAAATCACAATAGTGAAAAATATACTAAGCCCATGGTAGAAGAATTCAAATAGATGCATCAACGCTTCGGGGTATTGATATTTAATTATTTTTTAAATGTTTTTTTTTTTCAAAAGTATATGTTTTCTTAATCGACGCCAAGCGTTGTTATGGTATGATTTTTCGACAATTTTTACAAATATGAATATTTTTTCATTTAAAATTTGCAATTTCAAAATTGGTTTGACAGTTCATTGCACCAGCTGCTGTGTCGATGCGAATATCTGTTTTCTTCTACCATGGGTCAGCCTTTCAAGCCAGCTGCATTATTGTGATTGAAATCACAGAACAAAAGTTTAACAGAAAGCCAGAAATTGTAAATAATTTTTTTCCTTTTAATCTGCTTTTTAAAATTCGCAGAAACCCCTTGTTATTGCGCCATGCTACTAAGTTTCTTGTCAAATAGTTCTGTAACATGGCCCGAGTTTAAAGGGCCCTTTCCAAGCCAGCCGACTACCAAACGTAATGTCAAAATGCATTATTGTGATTGAAATCCATAACTAAATTTTGAAGGAACACCTTGTAATTGCGCCATCTGCTGTAACTTTTATCGATTAAAAAACTAATAACTTGAAAATTAACATTTCTCAGTCTAGTTTCGTTAATAAAAAATTTCAAAATATGGAAATATTGCTTTATGATGGAAACATAAAAAAGGAAATTTCTTGATGTTCCTGAGCGTCACAAACAAAAAATTACTCACGCTTTACTATACTCACCAGGGACTTCTGTACTTTTTCACTCCCGAAACTTTTATACCCATTTATGTCACAGTGTAATTTGGCCGTAGATTTCATGATTGTCAAATCAATGGTTAAAGATAGTAAAGGACTTAAAAATATTAATTCCTCAAATATTCCATCAATGGGTATGAATCATGTTCCCTCCCAGGAAGCGCCAAAAGTCATAAGTAAATTTAAAATATTTCCTTTTTAACAATTTAAAAGTATAAAGTTCCAAATTAATAACAAATTGGTCACGTATTTCAGCGGTGTGCGATATCTTAGCCAAAATGTCTATAAACATTATCGTTTATTCTCAATTATAAAACCAGTTGGAACTGGTTTGAAATAAAAACTTTGCCGATAAGCTCTATGTATAACACACAAAATGATAACGACGCCATGTTAATTTGGATACAAAAATTAAATAATTTTATTTGTTAAAATAATTTGAATTTCTGACATGATAGTACATCTTTCTGTGCACTACTGCCGAATAAATCAGCCTTTTAAAGTAGTTCGAAAATTGTTCGTTTCTTCGTGTAGATATTTTCATCGCAAAATTTGTTGTTAGACAACAATAATATTGTAAATATACAATATATATCGTGGATAAAATTAAGTAAATCGTTTTAGAAAGAAGAAAAAAAAACTAATGCATTTTTGTTGGTTAAAACTAAATAAAATAATTATTGTTTATAAAATAAAAAAAATTAAAATGGAAATAAAATGTCAGCTAACCAGAAAAACCTAAGAACAAAGGGAAGGCTGCTATTCAAAGCTTTAAGCTTTTTATCTTTTTTCCTGATGATAACAGTTTAAGGAGTCAATCTCTTGGGATCACGTGGGAACATTGACGTTTTGCGAATGTTGTCGAGACCCAGATACAACATGACGACACGTTCCATACCAATACCACCGCCAGCGTGTGGTGGACAACCAAACCGGAACGATTCAATGTAGGCAGCAATTTTACTGATATCTGAAATTAAATTCATAACGATAAACTCCTACTCATATCTATTATCTAAATTAAGATGGGTACATAAGCAGCTTGCCATAATGGCTAGGCATATTTATGGCAAATTATAAGGGGGAAATGACGGCAGAATTCGAGTGCGGCTCTGACATTCATTTCTTCACATTCCATTCTTCACAAAATATGCCATGCGAAGACTTCAAGCTGCGTATGTATCCACACTTTTAGTTCTCTTACCTATTCCGTGATGTTTAGCTCTTTCTGTCAAAAAGTCCGGGTCATGAATACGCTGTGCTCCAGACAATATTTCTTCGCCTCTCATAAACATATCATAGGAGTTGGAATAAATTGGATTGTTGGGATCGGGCATGGTATAGAATGGTCGAATAGCCAAGGGGAATTTGTCCAAAATATAGAAATCAGTGTCATATTTTGCTTTGACCAAACGACCCAGTAACTTTTCATTGGGCGTGGAGAGATCTTCTTCATCACCAGTTTCAACACCGGCTTCACGCAGCATTGCTACACCTTCGGAGAATTGCAGAATAAGTGGAGGTTCCAAAAATTTGAATGGCTCCACACGGTACTGTTGTCGAACTGCTTCAATCTCTTTGCTGTATTGATCGCGCAATCCTTTGAATATGTCGGTGAAGGTGTTACCAATTGTATGGAGCACTTCATGGTAATGATATTTAAATGACATTTCCAAATCAAGACCAACGAATTCCGTTAAATGCCTGTGCGTGTTAGAATCCTCGGCACGGAATACAGCGCCCACAGTGAAAACTTTATCGAAATCAGCAGCAATAGCCATTTGCTTATACAGCTGAGGAGACTGGGCCAAATAAGCGGAATCTAAAAGTTAAATGCCAAAAATGCAACTTTAGACTAGAAATATTCAAACATGAAAAGACAATAACGATGATTACCTTTGAAATAGCTCACAGTAAATACATTGGCACCACCTTCACTGGCGGCCGATATAATTTTGGGTGTATGGATCTCTGTGAAACCCTTGGCGGTGAGTATATCACGGAATAGGCGGCAAACACCAGCTTCCAAGCGGAAAATGGCTTGATTGGCCGGAGTTCTTAAATCCAAAACACGATTGTCCAAACGGGTATCCTGGTTGACACGAATATTGAGGCCTTCAGTGTCATCAGGGTTGTCGGGACGAGATGCATCCTCAATTTGCAATGGCAATTGGGGTTTGGCTTGGGATACCACAAACAATTGCTGTATTGACAATTCAAGGCTTTGTTCCGTACAAGACTCAATTTTGGTAGGTACACCTACGGCCACAGCTTCAATGTCGATGATACTTTCCTTGTTCAAACTGTTTGGAAAAAATACAAACACACATCAGTGGGAGGGTGGACGTTTTAAAACACTTTCATAACAAACTTACTTGCCAGCAAATTTAACCATTTGTTTGGATATTTTGTCGCCCACAGCCAAAATACATTGTACAGTGCTGCTGTTCTGGCGCAAGATCAGGAAACATTGTTTGCCCTTTGCTCTGGATGTGTGCACACGTCCTCTAACCCAGACAGGAGCTTTGCCCACATGATCTTTCAAATCGACGACTGTTACGAAGTTCCTTTCCTCGTGTTTTTCCTTGGAATTGATGATACCGTACGTGCCATAACAACCGGCTGAAATATCCTCTGCACTATCAGCCGCATTGTTGCCATTATCAGATTTTCCAGCAGCCGCCTTATATTCAGCTTTCTATGAAAACGTTTGTTTGTCAGTATCCTCTTGCGTTGTAATGCCATCAAATTACAAACTTACCTTGGCGGCCTTTAAGGCTTCTTTGGCCTGTTTTTTGGCAGCTTTCTTCGAAGTTGTTTCTCCTTCGTTTCCAGAGGAATTCGGTGCTTTCGTGGCGTTTTCGTTTTCGGTCACCATTGTGATAAGACGTGCCTTTATCTGTCAAATAAAGAAAATAAAAATGTTAGAATATAAACAGGGGTGCTCAAAACCGTGTTCTAGAACATGAAGAGAAAAAAGAGATAATTTAAGAGAAAATTAAAATTCTGTTTTTCTTTATATTTTACTGTTCTATTTAATTGTTTTTAAACACGAATGTTTGCCAAAATAGTTTATAAAGCAAATGGATAAAAAATATTTGTATAAATAATGACTTAACACTGTTTTGTTCTTGATTTAAATAAGCAAAGAGAAATTTGACTGAAAACAGATATTTCTTCTTGAGCACCCCTGATATAAACCACACAAAATCAAGTACACCAACAAAAGCCGATCTAATTGCACCTCTTGCAATCACAACATTGAGAGAGCCTACCGATAAGAAGAGAGGCAACGAGAGAGAGAGAGAGAGTTCCTTTGTGTCTCTTACATAGAAAATATAGCTATTGCATCATGGACACTGTTTTCAGGATTTATTGTAATAAAACTGAATGAAACATTTAACAGAATCGATGAAGCATATGGAAGTAATAATTAGTGCAACAATTGCAAATATTTCACGTAATATCAAGATCCACAAAATTCCGGTTGTTGAGTCACATGTTGAGAGTGCCCAGAAATTGTTATTGAGTTCTTCATTAGTTTTCACTCGAAACCACCAGCGATTTTACTCTCAGCTATTAGCTAGGCTTTTGTGCGACATTTTACCTTATTATTATCTTAAAACTGTATTGTTCTTAAACAAAAAACAATAACTTTACGCACCGTCAAACAGATGAATAATTCACTGCCGAGAAGTCGTGGCCAAAAGAAGAAGAAGAAGCAGAACCATTTGATTAGGGATGTATGAGTCGAGTTTAGTCTCATGCAAGTGACCTACAATTCGATGCACTGTACAAAAATCTTTTCAACTTGTGGTGAAGTGATTTGAACAAATCATAAGAGATATTTTGCGAAGCACTTTATTCCATTAAATGTTTGTGCAAATAAACACGTCTTCTTTATGAAAGGTTCCTTGGTTGTATACAACAAGTTGCTTTAATTTCTTTTCATATTTTTCGTCATTTTTTAGATAAGTTAAATAGCGCAACAAATGAATGAAAAGCCTGTATTGTCTCTCAAATATATGATCCAAACCGTTCAATCTTTGATTTTAATGGTTAAACTGGTTAATAGCTTTAATGCGCTTGTCGCAATGTACGTGTCTTCCTTGGTTTTGAAAATATTTGGTTTTTATTTTTTAAAACAATAAATACTGGCAGAAATCGGGCACACTTAGAAAAAATTGTAATCCTACCAGCTGATTTACCTTTTAATTGTATAAACAAAAATCAGCTGAGCGGCACTTATATACTCCCTTGGTAGAAGAAATCAGGTAGACTCGTCGAAACAGCTGTTGGGACAATGAACTGTCAAACTAAATTTGAAATTGAAAATTTTTAATGAAATGTTATCCAAATTCGTAAAAATTGTTGAAAAATAAATATAATCTCCGATTGGTGTGGTATAACAAAGCATATAAAAACATACTTATTTTTGAAAAAAAATCATTTCCAAACTTTTGACATATGTTCCCAAGCGTTGATGCATATTCTTCTACCATGTATCCTCCTACGGATGTATCTAATAGTACGTTTAAGTTACTCCATTCCACATACCTCAACTAAATCTGTTCTGTTCCAGAACGGCAAGAATCTAAAATATTTACCACGATAACCGATTTCCCCCTCTATGATATGGAAAACATTCCAAGATTAATAGATTCTTGCAGGTTCTGAAACAGATCTATTAAACCCAGTGGGTTAATCCTCAATCCTTGTGTGTCAATGCTTGGTAGAATTAAGAATGTAAAATGGTTTCAAATAAGCTATCCAGCTCTGTCCTTTTAGCAATCTCTGAAAAAAATAGAAATTCAAAACTCGAGTTCAAGACGGAGAAGTGAGAAAAAAAATATTCAAGCTCTAGTTGATTACCAAAATAAAAGGCAACATTGAGTATTAATTTTGTTAAAAAAAGGTAATTGCGCAAAATCTTTGGTGTTGTGAAAAATAATTACTTGAATGTCATCCAAATGACGGGAAAAAATTCATCCAAAGAGTTAGAATAGATTGATGCAATAAAATGCAATGTAAAAATTATATTTACTCTGAGTGCACAACAAGACGCCAGCTGTATAATTTGTAAACAATTTTATCATGTGTAAATGTAGCATTAACATTATTCATTAATCTAAAATGAACTAGACCCTAGTTCATGCGCTCTCTTCATTGTGTTGTTCAATTGAACAGTTTATTCGTGAACAATACAGCTCAGCTGAAAGTCGACTTACATACGACTACTCTAGAAAAAAATAGAAATTCAAAACTCGAGTTCAAGACGGAGAAGTGAGAAAAAAATATATTCAAGCTCTAGTTAGTTACCAAAACAAAAGGCAACATTGAGTGTTAATTTTGTGAAAAAAAGGTAATTGCGCAAAATCTTTGGTGTTGTGAAAAATAATTACTTGAATGTCATCCAAATGACGGGAAAGTCCATCTAAAGAGTTAGAATAGATTGATGCAATAAATTCAATGCAAAAATTATATTTACTCTGAGTGCACGGCTGTGAAATGAGTCACCATTCCTACGGTGTCAATTGTAAAGTGCTCTGTTTGTTGTTTGTGCTGTTGTTTTGAATAAAATTCTGCGAAAATGGTGAAATGTCGATGGCTCCTTCGTCTTGGGAATTACTTGACTGGAATTGAAAGGAATGACGGCATCAATTGACCTCTTATTAAATCAAAACACATGACCCTCAAGTTTCGAAAATACGTTGCCTTGACGGCAACGGAGAAAGTCCGGAAGTACATAGCCATAGTGTGGGATTCACGTCCTAATTTGTAAGGGAAAATACATTTTTCTTTACGTTTTCTATTCAATTGAAAAACTCGTCAAGCATACACAACAACCACACACTTTTAATTTGTTAATTTGTTTGTTTATCTTATCGACAACAGATTGTAGAGGACTGACATGAAAACAATATATGACCCAATACCCGTCATAGTAATAATACGGATTGTGTGCGCTACGTGTGTATGATTAAATGGACGTGGTGAATAATTTTTTATTTGAGAAAGGAAGTAAAAAATAAAAAAATAAGACATTTCGGATCAATGGTCGAATGTGTATCAAATATTGTGCACTTCAGAACGCTGTAATGAGAAAACAATAGATTTTGTAAATATTACCATATTACAACGACATAGTAAAATTACACAAATTTTCAATAATTCTTTGGGTGTACTAAATTAACATGCTCTCAATTATTCTATTACGTTTTTACTTAATTGGTTTCATTTAAATATTAAAATATTATAATTGTTTGTTTCTCTTTTTCAGGTATATCGTCTACAAATTTGGTTCACATTTAACTGAAAAGAGCTCAAATAAAAAGACACTAATATGGCTGGTAAGTTCGATAGACAACAAGCATTAATGTTGTGTGTTTTCTAATTTTCAGTCTAATTGTTCAAAAAGCAAACACACCATAGAAGTAGAAGAAGAAATTCTTTATTGAAGTCTGTGAATTTTTCCATCTGTGAATTTTTCTAAATTCAAAAGCAAATAAGAAATGTCTTGGCAAGGCGGTCCCTATTATCAAGGTGTCTATTTATATCTTTATCACTCCTTTTGGTTGAATTCGATAACACAACTTTAGTTCTGCTAATAACTCCCTAACCTTATTTTCCATATGAATTACTAAACGTCTAGATACTAACCTACTAATCTGCATTTTGGAATAGAAACTAACGACCAGTGTGAAGTGGATGATAAGGCCGAAAATATATGAGTAATTCCACAACGGCTTGTTGATTAGACATAGACCATTTGATTATCAGTTTCGAACTGATGTTGAGTGTTATACAACTTGTTATCTCTCATTTTACGCTGGTTTAAGTTTCAGCATGTTTGTTAGACAGTCATTGCAAATATTTACACAAACCATTGTTGTTCAGTACCCCAAAAGTCAATACCAAATACTACTCCCACACATATGCGAACATTTGTTTATGTATCCCACCACAGCTTGTGTTTAAGAAAAACACGTAAAATTTTACTTTTGTGCCATAGTTAAATATGGATATATTTTGTTAAGTTATACTAGTGTTGATTGCTCTCATATTTTGCAAAAAGGCCAATCCTCAATATTCCAAAAAGGTTCTCTTTTAAATTAACATTGACAGGTTTTTATATTGGTATAAAAAAATATTTCATAATTCAATTGCAGTACATCATTCTGCATTTATACCCTACTACACTATGTGTTGGGGTATTATAAGTTTGATTGGATCAAAAATTATGTAACACCTCAAAATATTGGTCCCCCACCTAGCAACCTATATATCATCTAAAAGATCCGTAAATAAAAATTTGTAAAAAAAAAAAACAAAAGTTGAATTTGAGCCAAAATGTGTCAAAATTAAACTCCAAGTCAAAGACGTATATCATAAACCCTTTATTTACCAGACCAATGAGCTAATTAAGTCAGATCTATAAAACAGCTCACCTCCCTTAGAATTCTTCACAAGCTTAGCAAAACTATCAGCCTTTCATACGCTGTTAAGATAAACATCATTTATACCACATTGAAGTCACGATACAATAAATTAGCGCTGAGTAAGCCAGTATATCATCGATGCGTACACATAACGACAAACATGTACACTTTTATTATTTTCCTAATTAAATTAACAACATAATTGTGTTTCTTCTAAGAGTTGATACAATTTGAAGGCACACAAACGACGTCAAATACAGGTAAACCTGAGTTAATTTAGCAATCTTCGTTGTTGCTATTTTTTTTCGAAACTGCTAGTGTATTTGCTAGCCTTTAGTAATTTATTTATTCCAAAAAGCTGGATTTAAATGAAATCACAACCGAAAACCAAATGAATATTTAATGGCTATTCGGTAATTTTATTTTTAAACCTTTTCATCTAAATCTGCATAAATAACATGTATAATTGTTTTCAGATGATATATTACAAGATCAATGCACAATTTCACCTTTGCAAATTGAGAGCGCCGATACAGCCCTTTTCTTTCGTAAATAGAAGAACATACAGGGTGAGATAAAAAACTGCAAGAAAGGCAAACGCCATAATTTTACATTTTTTTTTTAATTTTATTGAATGAAAGCAATAAATTCGGAAATACCATCAAATTTTTAGAATAAGTTTAGATTTGTTGAATTGGTCACCTTTGGCACGAATTATGGCCTTTGAACGGCCAAATGTTGCTCTGCGGTATTTTGGTCCATTCCCGGCGAAGCGCTTGCTTTGGTATTTTTTAGTGCCAACCTTGATTTCCAAAATTCTCCAGACACAATATACCAACGGATTGGTATCGAAGATTTTGGCGGCCATTGTGTGCTGGAAATGAAGCGAGGAACCTCATTTTGTAACCATTCTTGGGTGGCGCGTGCTGAGTGCGATGATGCTGAGTCCTGTTGGAATGTCCAAGGTCTGCGGCCAAAATGTTTGCGTGGCCAAGGCTTTAATACATTCGGCATTTATTCTGATGCCACAGTCGATTAATACGAGCGGAGAGCGACCATCGGCTGTTACGACGGCCCACACCATCACCATGGCCGGCGCTTGATTTCTGGTGGCCAACCGAAGACCTCTTTAGCAAGGAATTTCAATGGCTTCAAGCCGAGCTCATTTTTCAATATTTGCCGAATTGAATATTGCGATATGTTCAGCTCACGAGCCATTATTCAGCCAATGCGACGCGGGTTTCGATCAAATAACTTCTTTACTTTTCGAACCATTTCTGCTGATGTTGCTATGTTTTCTTCCGTCCACTTCCTTGACGTCGGGCTACGCTACCAGTATCATGGTCTTGTACCATGTTGCTGAGTCCTGTTGTAATGTTTAAGGTTTGCGTGCCCAAGGCTTTAATACACCCTCCAAAGTATTTTCGCCATAATAGTCGGCATTTATTCTCAAGCCACGGTCGATTTATACGAGCGTAGAGCGACCATCAGCTGTTATGGCGGCTTACACCATCACCATGGCCGGCGCTTGAGTTCTGTTGGCCAACCGAAGGTGCACATTTTCAGCTGACCTCTTTGGCATGTAAGCACGATCATTTTGTTTGTTTACAAACTGCTGGACAACGAATGTTTTCTCATCGGAGAAAACCAAATTCGGCAGTTCAACATCACCAATTTCGGCCAAGCGAATCAACTCTTTAGCTCTTTTGAGCCTATTTTCTTTCTGTTGCGGTGTAAGTTCTGGCACTTTTTGGAATTTCAATGGCTTTACCCTGAGCTCAATTTTTAATATTTACCGAATGGCATATTGCGATATGTTCAGCTCACGGGCTTTTTTTGGCCGACGCGGGTGGGCTACGATCAAGTCGCTTCTTTACTTTTCGAACCATTTCTGCTGATGTTGCTTTTTCCTTCCGTCCATTTCCTTGACATCGGGGCGCTACGCTACCAGTATCACGGTAACAAACGATGGAAGGAGAAACAAAAGATTTATTCACATTTAAATGCTGGAGTGCTTTAACGATAGCCACGTGTGGTTTTCCAGCCAAATATAAAGAAATCACACTATCACGCTTGAATTTCATCACGAATATCTTTTTTTTTTGGAAAATTTTCATCACAGTCCTTTTCTTTTGTACGCTTGTAAACAATATAATGAGCTGTCACTGGAATAATTTTAACAGCTGTCGGACGAGTGGCTTAGAAATCACAGCAACTGAAGTTGGTTGCAGTTTTTTCATCTCACCCTGTAATTTTAATTAAACGCAGTATACCATTAGAATGTGGTATATACGATAAGTCATTGACTCCTTACAAATAAAAAATTCTGGAACATCAGATACTAACTGTAAAATAGTCTACAAATTTATCAATTAAGGTACCATAGGTCAGGACTCAATTTCCCTTAACTATTTTTATATAAAAAAATAAGAAACAATGTTAATGAGCAATCGATATCATGCCAAAGTATTGGGGATACGTCAGAAATTTGAATTGAATATATGAGACCACGATTCAATTAATGACACTTTTTATTAATCATATCTAAAATTCTGATAAACAACACACTTTTCATTATGTGTGTCAGAGTGTTTATACGAACATTTCGGAAGCGAACCAGGTGTCGATTGTTTGTCAGTGAAAGCTTTAAAGTAAGATGGTGGCAGCATTACTACTTAAAATTATCTACAAATGTACATATACTCACACATAAGCATTTTTGTATATATTTGTATGGTAAATCACCTTCCCCATATTTCTCGGCAAGACTGTAGAGTTGCGTAGTCTTGTATGAGTGTATTGTATATGATTTCTGATATTTTTTGTTATCTTTAATACGATAACAACACGACCACGAAGTTCTTTCTGGATTCCATGAAAAATTCTTTTTCAGTCGAAAACAAACGATTATTTTTCAAGTGATGATTAACTCAACATTATTGTTCCATTAGAAAAAGTCGGAATTTTTCGTTTGTTTTTCCCAATATTTTAAATATATAACGAGAATGTATCAATCTGTAGATCAGCGTGAAGGAGGAGGAGGCAAGTTACAAAGACAGCATGTAGAAAAGTAGTATGCATGATCATCATCATCACTATCTTTTGGTTGATGGTGTGGTTTACACTACACATTTGTTGTATACAAGACGACGCATGTTAATGATCAGATTTGCATATTTTCTTACAATTACAATTCTAATTTTTTTGTTTTTAACTTTTATAGATCCGAATCAACAATATTATGGTGGCGGTTATCCCCAAGGTGGTTATCCACCACCAGGAGGCTATCCCCAAGGTGGTTATCCACCACCAGGCGGCTATCCTCCACCCGGAGGCTATCCCCCAGCCGGTGGTTATCCACCTCCAGGAGGTTATGGTGGTCCTGGTTTTGTTCCACCTCAACCAGGTTTTGTGCCACCACCCCAAAATGATTTTGGCGGTGGTTATGAGGATCCTGAGGGCCCCAAGAACTTTTCCTTCGATGACCAAAGTGTGCGCAAAGGTTTCATACGCAAAGTTTACATGATCTTAATGGTAAGTGTGGAGTGGAGCAAACTCTTTCATAGATCATTCCAAATTAACCCTTTCCACATAATTTCAGGGACAATTGTTGGTGACATTCGGTTTCGTTGCTTTGTTTGCCTTCAATAAGGCCACCAAGGATTTTGCTATGAGAAACCCTGCCCTATTTTGGGTTGCATTGGCCGTTCTGCTTGTTACAATGATCTGCATGGCTTGCTGTGAAGGTGTACGTCGCAAGACACCCATGAATTTCATATTTTTGGGTTTGTTTACTCTGGCGGAGTCGTTCTTATTGGGCGTTTCAGCAAGCAGATATGCTCCCACAGAGGTAAGTACTTTATTTATTTGATTACTCAAAGTGTTGACTCTTTACGGGGGAGGTACCGAAGCAGTTGACCAATTCGTATCTGACTTAAGACTGATAAAAATATTACAACGTGTCAGATTTGGACTATATCGACTACTACCTATACTTTATATGAGATATGTGCAAATTTTTGGAAAAAGTGGAAATATGCGTGAGGTAACAGATTAAAATATAGGTACGTGCAAAATTTGAAGGAAATCGAAAATTTATATCCAATTTTTGGCGAGCTCGAAGTATTCCATTTTCATACTTCATCTAATGCAGATAAAAATATTGATATGTGCAAAATTTGAAGGAAATTGAACATTTGTATCAAATTTTATGCGAAATCATATTTGGTTGTATGAAATTTGATGAGAGTTGGATGCGTATTGAGCTTTCTTTGAGCGTTTGGTTTTCAAAATCTTGAACCCTATGTGGGGGAGGTACCCAGAAGATATGGTCCGATCTCTATCATCTTTATAACAGGTCTTGTGTTGATGGAAATATTGGGATGTGCCAAGCCTGAATGGAATCCGATGTTAATTTCGCGTTTTATAAGCCTCATGGTTACTCAAAATTTTTACGTTTTGTGAGGACGGTACTTGAAGGAGTGGGACGATAAACCCCATCTTCATAGCAAACCTTGGGTTAATAAAAATATTGTGATGTATTTAATTTGAAGAGAACCGGATGCTTATTTCGGATTTTATGATTTTTTTGGTTATTCAAAGCTTTGACCCTTTGTGTGGGAGGTACCAGAAGAAATGGTGCGATCTTTACCATTCTTCTAACAGATATTGTGTTATTGGAAATATTGAGATGTACCAAGTCTGAATATCGGATGTTAACTCGTGTTTTATGAGCTTCATGGACACTGAAAATGTTTACGCTTTGTGGGGAGGTACTTGAAGGAGTGGATGGATAAATCCCACGTTCACACCAGATCTTGGGTTAATGAAAATATTGTGAAATGTATAATTTGAATACAATCGGACACTTCCATCACATTTTATAATAGTTATATTTATTCAAAATGTTGACCCTTTGTTTGGGAGGTACTGGATGGAGTGGGCCGATATTGTCCTATGTCACACCTGACCTAGCACTGATGCAAATATTAGGATTTGCAAAGTTGGAGCAAGAATCGGACCATCCTTTCTTTTTCTGTGCAGTAAAATATTATCTTCGAAAATGTGCACATTTTTTAGGAGAGGTACCAGAAGGGAGTTGACCGATATTGCCCATCTCCGAACTCGATGTACCAAGTTGGGATCAAATCGGATACTCCGAGGACGGCATTCATTTTGTAATTGCTGATAGCATCTGCGACGGCATCGGTATGAGTGCCACTCAGACATGCCTGATAGGCTTCTTGATCTAGAGGTTCTCTCTTATAGCGTTGGACCACCCTCTCTAGATCGTATATGTCCTTCCTGACACGTCTGGGTGGGGGCGTTGTATCCACCATATGGTAGTGGGGATGACTCTCACGATAACACCCAGGCAACGAAAGCATGCTGACGCAAGGGAAGGACTATCGTCAAGTCATGTAGATGGTCCACTGGTGTCATGAGGAGGCACCCTGTCCCAGTTCTCAGGACAGCATTCTGGCAGGTTTGCGCTTTCACTGCGTAGCACTAGTATTTTTTTTATAATCCGTTAAAATAAACTATTTAAACCCTCTTAGAAAATTTGGAAGACCCATAACTTGAATCAATGACTTCACTGCATGCTTTTAACAAATTGGCGTGCAATTTTTTTAAAAACCTGTTTCAAATCTGATAATATTATTGCATTTGTATTTGCGCAAACAAGGGGACATTTCCAAGCCATTTTAAGGATTTTATTTTAAAGGCAATATAAATGATTAAAAATGCTCTTTGAACTTTATTTGCAACTAATTTCAACGACAATCTTTTGATGCTCTTTAGAACATGGCTGCATGTGGATAATGCCCTAAAAAAGCACTTACTCCACTGATGAAACTGCATCGTTGAGAGGAAATGTCTAGCTAAAATATCTATCAGTATATTCCAATTGATCATCTCCGCCAATTATTTTTCTTTGCATAATCAATTTCCGTTTTTCTTTTCAGGTTCTAATGGCCGTTGGCATAACCGCAGCTGTCTGCTTGGCTCTGACCCTGTTTGCATTCCAGACAAAATACGACTTTACCATGTGTGGCGGTGTTCTGTTGGTGTGCATGGTCGTATTTGTCATTTTCGGCATTGTGGCCATATTCCTTCCAGGCAAAATAATGACACTTGTCTATTCATCCATCGGCGCTCTGCTATTCTCCGTCTACTTGGTTTATGACACTCAATTGATGATGGGCGGCGATCACAAGTACTCCATTAGTCCCGAGGAATATATATTTGCTGCTTTGAATCTGTACTTGGACATTATCAACATCTTTATGTATATTTTGGCCATAATTGGGGCCTCAAGGGATTAGGACTGAATTGTAGAGCCATGCTGGTACAAACAAAACCAAACAACATAACCTTAAACCACATTAACAAAAATGAATAAAAAACACACGGATCATTGCTTAATGTTTAATATACAAAAAAAAAAACCGAATCCAATCCCCTCCTCCCCCTCCCATACTGAATTTAAACGTATTATTTGTGTATGATTGTACTAACTTTGATATTTTTCCCCTTGCCATGTGTTGGATATTTAACACAGGCTTTCTTTATTCCTTAACCTTTCCCCCCCAATAGCCAGTCATACACATTCAAACATACATATTTATTATTAAATAAAACTACTATATTAACTAAAACTAAGAGGAGATGAAATGTTCTCCCCAAATATTGGGTTTTGTTCTATTTATTCAACATAAGATATGTAATTAAACTGATGTATTATTATTACGAAACGTTTAACTATTTAATCATAAGTGGTTTACTGAATTTTGTTTTTGTCAAGTACATATGTAAATGTAATTTTAAGTATTTTTTTAATGTTATTTATATGTGTAACTTTCCTCATAATTTGTTGTTGTGTCTTTTTTTGTTATTTTGTTTTCTTTTTTCCATAATCCATTTAATACCAAAAAAAAACGAAATTCCTTTTTTGTAGTTCTTAAACTTATTAAATTATTAAAAAATATATAATATTGCTTCTAATGCATATAACATATGTTTGATTTAAGTGTGTATAAACCTTTTTTTCTTCAAAGAACTGAAATGTTCTTCTCTTGGAAACACAGATTTTGTTTCAATTCTATTTTGAATAACAAAATTATGTAAATTGAAAAAGAAAAGTTAACCAAAAATTCATTTTAACCAAATAAATTATTGAAAATTTCCCCAAAGACAAAAGTATCTGTTGTAAGAGAAGAAAAATGCATGAGTATTTCTAAGGACATATTAGAGATAAATAAATGAAGAATATTTGAATTGCAAGTTAATGTTTTATTCCACAGAAATACAAAATATTGCTGGCATTATCTCTCTCTCTTTGAAAATAAACCATGTTATTACAGCCTTATTTACTAAATGTGGGCAAAATTGAAAATACTCTGTACGACAGAGTTAATAACCATTATATTAACAATTCTAAATGTTGACAATAAATCTGTGAAATAAAAAAAAAACATCATTATGAATTGCCTTAATAATCAAAAGAAAAAGAAGTGCTTCAAAATGGAATTCATGGCATTAAGAAGATAACTGCATGGTTATGCCATTCATGTATGAATCTTTCATGGTCATGGGTAAGTTTTTCATTTGATTTTCTTAATACAAAAATAAGATTAAAGTAAAACTTAGAAAATAAGTAGCTGGATTGTTGTTCTATGAAAATATTATTTTTTCCAGGATTGCAAAAAGTAAAAAAAAATTCCTACGATAACCGATTTTCCCTTTATGACGCTAAAAAAAAAAATGCAAAGCTAACCGATTCTTGCAGTTTCTGGAACAAAGCATTTTGCAGGTTCTGAAAAAATTCCCCCAGAAAAATTTTCATATAACAAAATATTGTTGGAGCCTTGAGTTCAAATTAAAACACAAATCCAACAAACAGGTTGAGATGAAAAAACTGCAACAAAGTCAATCACCATAACTTTTACATTTTATTTTAAATTTTATTGAATGAAAGCAAAAAATGTCGGAAATAGCATCAAATTTTAGAATAAGTTTTGATTTGTTCGAATTGGTCACCTTTGACACGAATTATGGCCTTTAAACGGCCAATACAACCGTCACACTCTGCCCGAATGTTGTCCTGCGGTATTTTGGCCCAATCCCGGCGAAACGCTAGCTTGAGCTTGAGGTCATCGACACTTTGGTATTTCTTAGTGCCAATCTTGCTTTCCAAAATACTACAGACACAATAGTCTAACGGATTGGTATCAGGAGATTTTGGTGGCCATTGTGCGCTGGAAATGAAGTGAGGAATCTCATTTTGTAACCATTATTGGGTGGCGCGTGCTAAGTGCGATAGTGCTGAGACCTGAGACCAAGATCTGAGGCCAAAATGTTTGCGTGCCCAAGGCTTTAATACACCCTCCAGAATATTTTTGTGTTAATATTCGGCATTGTGTGACGGTTTCATTGGCCGTTATTTCGTGCCAAAGGTGACCAATTCGAAAAAATCTAAACTTTTTCTAAAAATAAAATTTAAAAAAAATGTAAAAATTAAAAGTTTTTTATCTCACCCTGTTGTCCCCCACCCATATATGAAAAACACAGCGAAAAATTAAACAAAATTTTATTCTCTTCCCTACATATACATTCATATTCCAACCACTAACACTACACCCTACGACTTCTAATTTCAGATTTACATATACTACAGACCATATGGCCATGACTATTATTACAATCCCGTCGGTTGTTTGTACTTTTGTCGAGATTACTTTTGGGCACATTCCCGCCACAACATCGTGGCAGAAAACTTAAGGGTATCGATTCACTCTCCTCAATAGTTTGCGGTAGACTTTTGCCACGCGTTTCGGGCAAGAAAAGGCTAAACACGCCACCGCCAATTAGTAGGCCACCCATAATGATCAGCGGCAAGACCAGCATCTCTTGACCCATATGGTTAATAATGGGTATCACGATGGGACCAATCATTGCAATGACAGAACTAAAACTCATGCCCAATCCTCTGACCACCGTTGGATAGATTTCAGATGCCAGCAGCGGCAGCACCACAAATGCCGAAGAGATACCCATCTTACCGATGCAGTACAATATTAGCATGATGTTTGCATCCTCACTATACACGGAGGTGGTGACACAGGCTATGCCTCCCAACAGCATGGATATGCACAAAATTGAACGTCGGCCACAGTAGTTCAGACCCGGCCACAGCAATATGTACGTTGGCAGCTCAACTACGCCGGCCAAAAAGAAGTTCCATATCTCATCACCTCCCAGGGCGGGTGCATAATAACTTAAACCCACATAAACACTGGTGTTGGCAAACCAGATCAAGGTGATAATCATTGTCTTGCGAAACATATTCTTCGTTCGAAATAAATCCAAAATTCCATGAGAGGTTGCCGAATCATTGGGACCACGAGCTCTGTGAAATCGTTCCTCAACCAAGTTGACAAAATTTGGTACCACCGTTACACCATTGACACGGGCCATCACTTTCAACACCTTTGCCGCTTTTCGAGGCTGATTGACCGCCATCAGCCAACGAGGCGACTCTGGTAGAACGAAAAAACACGAAAACAGCAAAAGCAGAGGCAGTGAAACAGCCAAAGATAAATATCTCCAATCACGTACAACATACACCACCCCGGCCAGGAGCACCAGTCCACAAGAGTACGCAATATTGGAGACAATTGTGCAAAAAACACGTTTTTCCGGACCAACCATTTCAATTGCTAAAAGAGAAAATAAAACTTAAAGTAATGGGAAGGATATATGCCTCTTCAAATACTTACCCAACACATAAGGGCTTGCCAGTATGGCGGGTACAGTCAGACCAACCACAAATCTTAAGCCCAGCCACACTTCAAAATTCCAAGCAATTGCACTGGCAGCACACGCCACAATTTCCAGAAGCAAATAGGCATAGAATGAAGGACGTCGGCCCCACATGTCTTGTAAGTAACCAAATACATAATTGCCCACCAGGCCTCCAATGCCAAAGACGACCAGCGCCAAAGTCACCAAATAACTTCGATCACACACTAGATTCCACTAAAAGAGAACAAAATCGGAATGGTAAAGGAAAAAGGATATTGTTTTATTTTATTCAATGTCCTTGAAAAGGACATTGGCTTTAAATTTGAATTTCATAACCGAATTTCATCATTACCTCTGTTACAACTGTTGCAGGATACTGAGATCGGTCATAATGCCAACCATATTGGCATGTGGTCATATTAGAACCCTTTGGATTTCCGATGTGCCACACCTTGTCGCGTTGCAATTCCAACGGTGTGCGGTATTCCAGATAACGTACAATGTCCGAATAATTTCTTGCATACATATGGCACTCGGAATAGGCATCATTTTTAATGGGTACACTTAAATTCACCACTAATTCCGTGTAATCCTGGACCCAAGGTTCCAGCTCGGGTGTGCGACACCAATGTTTGGGAGTTGCTGCAATAAATAATTGACTACGTTGGTTTTATTTCAACTTTCTGAAGAGTGCTCACACACAAACGATACTGCAGCTACAGAACATATTAAAGTAATCCTTTCGCACCTACCTATAAGCATGGAAGGCACATGGCAGGGCCGCCGGCAAGAGAACTGCACATATAATAATTTTCTGATACAACCCAAAGGATCCAACCTCGCTAAGTACGTTATCGAAATCCATTTTTTTTCCTGATTTCGCCAGCTCCAAACCTTAACCCAACGCCCAACACAGCAACAAACCAACTAAATTCAATTTGTGATGATTTGAGTTGATTTGGTTACTGGTGAGACACAAATTCAATTTTTTTTTTGCAAATTTGAATTTGTAAAGTCTTCGTTAATTGAAAACAAAGGAAACTGGTCCATGTTACAGACAAACACTCACACACACACCCAGCACAGGCATCTAGCGTTATTGACTTGGACTTGATTTGTTGACAAAAATCGTAAATTGTTCTTATTACATTATGGGGTTCAAGTGTTTAATTAATTGCCTACCACTGATTCTGAAGGTCTTTGCTTCTGTCGACATCACAATGGGACACAAAACAAAACACATGCAACGGCTATTCTAATGGTAATGACCATTGTTCATAACGCTCACAACAAGATGCCGCACATCAGCTCTAGACACCAGCGAGCATCATTTCAATTTGGATTTTTGTTGAATGTAGAAGTGCAGTGGGAAAATCTTTAAAGCTGACAGAAAAAAAAGGATTTCACTATTTGTTGCTGATTTTTTAAATGAGAAAAGGCCAAGAGAGGTGAAAGGAAGAAAAATATCAAATTATGAAGATCATATTTAAAAAAGTAGCGAAGACGAAGTAGAATTTTACTCAATATCCTTTATTGCAACTCACCGAAGTGATAAATTTCGAATGACTGGGATGTGGTTTTTTGTAAATAAATAGTCTGCCAATGGAAAGAAAAAAGATGCTCTGGTTCAAGTCGGTTTTTTTTCAAAGACTAAGTGTAATAAAAAATGCAAGCCATAAGCTAATAAATACACAGAGAAGGATTTCAGATATTACCGATTAAAAATAGATTTGTCTGTCACGATATGGCCCGGTAATGAGTTATTGAACTCAAGATGATGTTGTAATTACACACATGTACCTTGGAATACTTCAGTTTAAAATTTTAGTGAAGTCTCAGAGTGAGATTTTTTATTGCCCAAAATTAGATTTGATTTGCACGTTTATATCTTGACCAAGGTTTATTGAACTATAGGTGATTTAAAACTTCCATGAACTTGTTTTACACAATTAGTTATTTTTTGCCTTAGATATTTATGATTTATTACATTAATTTTTATTTACATAATTAATTAATTACTTAAATAATGGACATAAGATATTTTTTGCGAAAGTGCAATAATTATTGCGAAACCGGCATATGTCTAGAACTTTGAATATATATTTAAAAGCGATTATATGAGATTTATAACAAATATAACAAATTCTCGACTTTTATCTCTGCCAAACTTGTTGAGCATTACAGGCCCCATCAAAATGAATAATGGATATTCGCCCTATTAATTTTATAAGTTCATGTCCCGAAATTAAAAAGTTTTTTTTTGGTCACTAAATATATTTCTTCCTCGGACTCGAGAAATAACCCATTGTTTTGTAATGTAGAATGGCAATGAGCTATGACAGATAAAAGTATTTTAATTGTGAACCTTTGTGGGTAAGACACCAGAAGGGGCTCGCAGATGTATATCATCTTCATAACAGATCTTGCATTAGCAAAAATATTTGAATGTATGAAATTTGAAAAAAGTTGAATGCTTATTTCGCTTTTTTGAGCGTTTTGTGTTTTAAAATCTTGAACCCTATGTGGGGAAGTTACCAGAAGAAACGGTGCGATCTCAACTATCTATATAACAGCTCTTGCTTTGATTAAAATATTGAGATGTATCAAGTCTGATCGGAATCGGATGTTACTTTCGAGTTTTATGAGCTTCATGGATATTGAAAAGCTTGACCCTTTGTGGAGAAGGTATCAGAAGGAGGGGACCAATATATCCCATTTTGACACAAGACCTTGGGTTAATAAAAATATTGTGATGTGTGTAATTTGAAGAGAACCATTTTTTAGAACGGATTTTATGATGGTTTTGGATATTTAAAACTTCGACCTTTTTGTGGGGGAGGTACCAGAAAAAATGGTCCAATATCCACCATCTTTGTACCAGATCTTGTGTTTATGGCAATATTGAGATGTGTCAAGTCTGAATGGAATCGGATGTTGATTTCTTGTTTTATAAGCTTCATAATATTCAAAATTTTGACCCTTGGTGGAGGAGGTACCAGAAGGAGTGAACCGATATATTCCATCTTCACAACAGTTAATGAAAATATTTTGGTGTGTGTAATTTGAAGACAATCGGACACTTACATCAAAGTTTATAAGAGTTATAATTATTCAAAATATTTATCCTTTGTGAGGGAGGTACTGGATGGAGTGGATCGATATTGCTCATCTCCGAACTCGTTCTAAGTTTAATAATAATATAACCATGTAGCAAGTTTGGATCAAATCGGATACTCCCTTCTAGAGTTATCGTGCGCACTAGCCAGACAGAAAGACGAACGGACATCGCTAGATCGACTCCAAATGTCCTGAAACAAATTTGGTCGAAAGAGACCTAGGGTCTATAACTCTTATTTCGATGAGGCACGTTTAGGCCTATCAAATGATATATACCCTGAGGGTATAAAAAGGGGATTAAAATTTCAAGAAATTGGATCATCATTGGTCAGGGATTACAATTTTTTTCTAAGTGTGCCCGATTTCTGCCAATTTTGTGTATGTATTTGTTGTTTTGAAAAATAAAAACAAAATACTTTCAAAATCAATGATTGGAAGAAACTTAAATTGCGGGGCGCGCATTAATAATAGTAACGATATTTACCATGAAATTGAAAGATTGAACATTTAGGATCATATTCAGGGCATAGCCTCAGGGTTGTATTTCTGCAGTTTTATGAAGCTGTTCTGCCTCCTTATTGTGCCATGGATAGAATCATGTGTTGTCGTATTTTTTGAATTTTTGATTGTCGCGTTTTTGTGTTGCGCGATTTTAGAAGCTATCCTTCTAAAGGACCAAACTTAGGCAAAGCTCCTTACAACTGTACATCTGTTTGGCATTTTTAAGGATTTGACCTCAATTGATGTCCTTCGCAACATTTTCCTATTGAATTAACCAAGACATTGTACGTTTCCCTTTTTGATTTTGAGACAATTTTATATTTAAATCAGGGCTAGACAGAGAGCCTCAAAACCTCAAAATTTTTTTGTGATTGTATGTGTTTTGAAATAACAAAATATTGCAAGTGTTTTTTGCCTCTCTTTACAGAGTGAAAAATAATTTGTTTTCTTTTTATTTAAATTTTTCTGTTTTAAAAACAACTGTTGGTAAAAATTAAAATTTTGATTAGACAATTCGGAGATATATTTGCACAATTGTTTTAATTATTATTAATTTTAATATAAAACAAGTAAAAGAGCTGTAAGTTCGGCCTGGCAGAACTTTGAATACCCTCCACCATCTGGAGCGAATTTGTCAATTTTGGAAAAAATAAAATCCGTTAAAATTTCTGTTAAAATCTTAAAAATACCGAATGTTGCCGTTATATTAGAGTCAAAACGACGACGTGGTCCTGCATAGGTAACTTTTGTCATAAACCATTACAATATTCAAATGCGAAACTTGAATAAAAGAAAGGGTGAATAATGTAACTAAAATCATCAAAATACCGATTATCGGGAGGTACCGTTATATGGAGGCTAAACCAAAACGTGGACCTACATGACCCATTTTCAATACCAAAAGTCCTGCAGATATAATATACATTTGAGCAAAATTTTATTAATCTACTTCATTTCGTTCGGAAGCTAGAGCGATTTCCACAGACGGACAGACAGACGAACATCGCTAAATCGAAATAGAATTTTATGCTGATCATTATTATATATACTTCGACGTGTTACAAACGGAATGACAAACTTAATACACCCTACATATTACGGCGGAGGGTATAAAAAATAATATAAATGTCCTTCAAAAATATATAAGTTAACATAATTTTGATGTTATTTGTGTTTAATAACCATCAAAGTTGACCCTTTAAAAAGTAATACCGATTACCGCTGACGTACAGACATATGCAAATAGTCGTAGAATCTTACTTTGATCAAAAACTCATATCCTGTGTTGGGTCCTAAAAGATTATTTCTATGAATCACTAGCAGAATGACAAACATCACAACCTGTTATTTTTGGGAATATCCCAATATTGACCAAGAACGTATATATCATTTCATAGAAATCAATAAATTTGTCGATCAATATGAAATGAATTTATATTCCTAACATGTGAATTCGTATACAAATTCTGTCAAATAGAATTCAATCGAAAAAGATAATCTTAACAGTTGTAAGTTTTACAATTTCGGAAATATTTGTTTCAAATATGTAGTAAGATATATTTATGTGTTCCGATATTTCTTACGGTGTATTTATAAAAATGTCCGCCAGCACCTTTCTCATCGACTGCTCGAACAATTCAAAACAATTTATTTTTTACAATTGTAGTGGTGAGCACACAGATATCCCAAGGGATACTCTTTGCCTAGCCTTGATTTAAATCATTTTTTAGTGCCATTTGATTCCTTTGTAAGGTTTTTGGTACGTTTGTACCATAATTGGTACAGACCGATTTCGACCTATAAACCTCTAATTGCATGCAATCGTGTCTTTTATATTTATCACGCATAACTTGCCTCTATTTCTTATTTCTTTTAATTGATTAATTTAATTTATTTTTAAATCATTTTTTAGTACCATTTGATAACTTTGTAAGGTTTTTGGTAACATTTGTACCATAATTGGTACAGACCGATTTCGATCTTTAAACCCCCAATTGCATGCATGAAAATCATGGAAATAAAGATAAAGATGGAATCAAAACAAAACGGCCGAACGATACGGCAACACTGAGTACAGAGAGAACGATACGGCAACACTGAGTGAATCGTTTGCTGCGGGCTTCGGTACGTGAAAAAAGAGTGAAAATTAGAAAAATATTGTTTATATAAATATATATTGTTTATATAAATAAATATATTTTGGAAGCTTTGGAAAAACGCAAGGGAATGTTTATTTTGTGAAGAGCTTGACGACTGACCCATTTAACGGACTTTAAAAACCTTTAAAACCCTCCCAAAAATATCAGCTGAGAATGAAATTCGATTCATAACAAAGCGCATTCTGACTCCGTGCTTCATGGGCTTAATGGGACTGATTTAAACAATTCCTGGCTATATAGGGCATTGCTGCACATGGAATGGATGGATCTTATCAACTGAAAAACGTTTTTATTTTGTTACTAAAAGAGACTGAGCCGCCTCAATTTCAAAACAAGTGTATCTTGTAGTGTATCTGTCTCATAACTAGACCACTTACAGGCCAGAGTTTTAGAAATAAACATATTTCATGCAAAAGCCCACTTCAACATTGAAATCCGTAAGCAGCAGTGATTTTCTCCCATATCTCTGGACCCGAAAAAGGTATTAGCACCAATTGTAGCATTTTGGAAAGGTAAGAGTGTCAGCTATAATTTGGAAACAAATTTGTTGACCCCCATAATGGGCCCTCTTTTGACTTTTTGGGGGTTTCATAAAAAATCCGGGTCCAAAAAATCGATAATTTGTCTATAATATCCGAACCATGACAACTTACCCTTCATGTGACCACTTGTTGGATAGGTATTTCCATAAGCAAACGATACCCATATTGTCTATATCGGGTAAGTGGATCCGGGTCCAGGCGGGGTCTTGATCCCGGACTTTCGGGTCAAAAATATGGGGTCCCGGGTACGTCCCCCAAGAAAAAATAGTTTCCCGGAATCAGGGTAAAAATACCTACCTCTGGAAAAAATTTCGAAAAAATCGAAGAGTTTTTACTAAACTAGAGTTGTTCCCAAATATTTTTTGGGTGCGAATCTACAGTTGGAAAAAACATTAGTGCAGGATTATTGATTTATATCAAATATCCATGATATCGGATGATCGGATGGCATGTTAAGCTAGCAATCATATCTGTGTCTGAACCATCTTCCCTAACATTCTAGGCTTTATGTTCAGTATGTCGTTTCTACCTCCATTTTGATTAATGTTTTTATTAACTACATGGATCTTATCAATCGAAAAAACATTTTTATTTATCGGTTACCATACTATAGGTACCACTTAAGGCACTTAAGGGCGAGAGTATCATTTCATGCAAAAACCCACTTCCCTAAACATGAACCTTCAAAATCCATGAGTAGCAGTGATTTTTTTCAAATCAAATATCGGTGTAAACTATTTAACCTAACATTGAACTGATTTAAAAACCAAGTACTCGACAAATTCAAGGTGAAATGAATGAAAATACTTCCCATAGTGCCCATGTTGACCTATTCAACTTCGTAAGATAAATGGTGTTACTTACAGAACTTTGAAGGCCTATATCCCACATATTCCAAAAAATTGCAAAGGAAATCAGATATTAAATATTTGTATTTTTATTAATACCCATAAGAAACAAATAAAACTCCATACCAAGTTTTCTATTATCTTTTGTAGATTGGCAAAATGCGAAAGTACCAGCAACTTCTGCTGCTAATAATCTCCTGTATAAGTGTCGGTGTCCTTTTGATGTACAAAACCGAAAATAATCATCTGAAGGATGTATTGGAGGTGATAAATTTCTTTGGCCACCGTTCGGATATTTTGAAAAAAGTTGAAAGCAATGCCACCTATATACGAGACTTTGAGTACCCACTGGCCGTCTGGCAAGCATTTGGCACACATTTCCATGGTTATTCTGCGTATTGGAGGCGAAACGAATTGGTTTCCGGTGGAGATGCTGTGGCAATTGTGGTAGGCCGTAAGGGTGCCGTACTAAATTTCAAATGTTCGCTGAATTTTGGCGGACCCACCAACATACAGGGCAAGTTTCGGTTTCAACGTGTAGACAAAAACGGGGAAGATGATAATTCGGAATTCACCCGATACTATTTCTACTGTAAGGTGACCCGCGACTTTGGCACACCCACATCGGTCGTGTTCAATGAGCCCAGTGCCAGCAACAAGAATGGTTATGCAATGAAATTGAGATTGGTCAAAGTTGCAGACAAAGGAATGCAGAAGCTGGCCGTTCACCATATGACAGTATGTTTAGATTTCTACAACAAGGAGGAGTTCTACAACATGACATCTGTAGAAAAGCAACCTCAGGAATTGCTTGAGTTCTTTATTCATCACTACATTCTGGGAGTGGAGGACTTCATTGTCTATGGTGGCGATGACATACCGTACACATTGCGGCCAATATTAAAACGTTTCAATGTACGGGTACATCTCCTGCCATTTAATTTTCCCTTTTCCTCTGGAAACTCCAGCGAACGAATACACAACATTATAGAAATGGACTGTATATTAAGGAACATTAATCGAGCCAGTCATTCAATTTTATTGAATGCCAACGAGTTTTTCTACCCCAACACACACTTGGACGATGAAAACTCTGTGTTACGTTCTATACGGGACGTCGACAGCGGAGTCACACACTTTGATTTGAAGCCATTTGCTATTTGCAAGGACCAAAGACATAAATATTTAATAGAAAATACATTGTATGATCCTGAGGTGAAGACACATAGCTTGTCGTTGTACAGACCGCAGGACAATACAAATGCCGTGAGTGTGGAGGAGCCTAGACGGCAAGATTTAACCGTGTCTAAAGCTTTTGTTCATCGATATATGAATTGCCTGCACGTGGGCAAGGATGGGCTGCACGATTGGCGAAACTTGCTGCGGGAAGATTTCATGCAACATCTGGAGAGACTGAAGGAAGAAATTAAGCTATTAATTTAGGATGATTTAGTTTCTAATTAATAATAATCGAATTAGTTGTCTTCCGTATGATTTAGAAAAAATTCTCGTTTAATTTTCTTGAATTGTTTTATGTTTTTTCCAACATCTTCAAGATGATTTTATCGTTATACAATTCTAACTATTCCCATTTATCCCTTTTCTTAGAAGTATGTATGTGCTTTGCAAGCTCAAAACGATATTTATACATTTAACTAGACTATTTGAATAAAAAAATCGAATTTATATTGTGCCGATTCAAGAATTCATTTTCACGATGGAAGGAATTTAAATTAAGCATATTAGTATTCGTTTATTGTGTATTCTAGATTTCATATCAAAAACTTGTGTGTAATGGAATTGATTTATCCATGAAATTCCTTATAAACATAATTCGTATTGATAACAGAAGGATAGATTCCGTATTGTGACCTTACCATCAGTCATCTTCTCACTTTAGCCTCTGCATTAGGGATGCATTTTTCAAACCAGCTGAGTCAATAGTTGCAGCTAGGTCGGTTAGTTCGCGTGTGGGGAATGAAGAAACCAATATAAAATTGCGATTGCCATACTGTGGACGCGCTCTGTTGTATTAAAGATAGACATTTTTTCATTTGATATTTGAATATTATTCAAATAAAACTTACGTTTGTATATACTCTTGAATGTCAGCCACTGTATGCGTTAAATTGAACTGGCCAGCTAAACGTGTTCCATCAGCTAATCTTACTTGAATGGTTGTAACCGGTGCTGAACTATCCAATTTAAGTTTTTCTTTGGCTGCGTCATCATTTGACTTTACATCTGAAGTCGATGTAGAAGCAGTAGTATCTTCTGCAGTTACATTGGGAGTGGGACTGGAAAGGTGCCGAACGTAAGATATATTCAAGGCATAGTTAACGAGTTCTTAAATACATACCTTCCCAACGAGTGTCCAGCACCCTTGAATGTTTTAACAGTGGTGGGCTTCTTTTTGTAATCCTCATGCCTGTGATCTTCTACATCAACATTTACCATCCAACCCATTTCCAGTAGTTCATTTGGTATTTCACTAAATTGCAAGTTATATTAGATATGCACCTCAGACATGTCACCATACTGAATACCAACCCTCTCATGACAGTTTCTAAGAATTCCTTATTCTGAGGATCATCATATAAACGTAGCTCTCCATCATCAATAGAAAATCCCTGGCTCCATAACTTCAGTACCACCACTGGTTTTGTTTTTGCCTCACCATCTTTGTTAGCCGGGGTCACAACCGAGTGATCATTATCGGTCATGCCAAGGCGTATACCTTGTCCCCAGCTCACACCTGACGAAGTACTTGGTGCCGGCGAATTCTCCATGTTTGCACTGCTCTCTTGAGCCATGCGGAACATATCTGTTAATTGTTCTCGGAAATTTTTACGTTTTGGTGGTCCCAACACCTGTTGACCTGAGCGATCCGATCCTCCGGCATAAAACGCCTGACCTTCTTCGTCGTCTTGATTGCCTCCCGAACGTTTCGACATATCGCCTAAAGTAGCAAATCTTTGGGAAAACAATGCTAGCATGAAGACATGTTGACCTTCTATGGAATCACAAAAATTAAGTACCTTGGTTTGGCACTTTGCCTTCCGAATGAACCACCGCCTGATGAGGAGCCAGACTTCGATTCGGACATACCGGTGGCTGGAGCTTCGTCGGTTTGACCCCCAGCACTGTCTGAATTATTATCGCCGTCCCCATCACCTTGGTTACCCAAAAAGTTGGACAATGCATCCTGTTCGGTGTCGCGCAAAAAACAAATAAAACACAACCATTGTCCATTTAAACAAAAGAATGACAAACAGATTTGCAAGCACAAACCTCCAATGACCAATTACTGCTGGATAAATAGAATCTGGCTACATTTTCATCGCCACCACTGATTTCAATAAATTGTGCAATTAATTCGTCGTGATCTGCCATTACTTTTTTGTTTCTTAGAGCCGATTTATATTGATTAATTTGTTAATTTGCAAAATTTTCCTTTGTATCGGTCCAAAAATTCCAAAAATTGCAATCTTGCAAAGTTCAATTGAACGATTCACCAATTGAACTGCTATCAAATTGAAAAGCGATCCAAACAATACGAATGATGGAGCAAGCAACAACAACAAGAAATTCATTTGGAAAAGACTACCAAGCCGTTATGATTTCTGAGCGGCGTCGCGCGCTTTTTGGAGACAAGCGGTTAGAATTCGAGAATTCGAGACACAGCAGAAGAAATTGAAAATCGTTTAAAAAAGAAGTGGGAACAAGCGAGTCTCATCCACTCTGATTAGATGGATTGGTCTTCACTTCGAATGGCTCTATTGTGTTAATTAGTGGTCCTGGGGAAAATTATATATGTAACAAGCAGGAGCAAGTTTGTACCCGCTTTCTGGAGAATTGCAACAAAGGAAGTTCGCAGTAAGTTGTTCTAAGTTATTCAAGATTGTTGTCAGAATTTGTTATCTTTCTGAACGTTTTTATATGCCAATTGACTTTGCAAATAGGAACCTATTTTGTGTTAATTATTTATTAAACATTCCGTGGTTGTTGATAGTAGGAAAAATATAGTCCAATAAGAAGCCGAATATGCAAGAACAAAGTAGAATGCGATGCGAGTATTCTTAGATTTTTTCCAAGTTTTTTCAAGAGCTAATCGGTTTCCCGGGTCCGTTCCCAAAAAAAAAAAAATATATATATATAAAGTTTCCCAGAATAGAATCAGAGTAAAAGGAAAAAATCTAAAAAAATTGAAACTAGAGTTAAGTCAAGAGTTCTCTGTCTTAAGGTATATTTCTTCGAAAAGCTGGTCCAAATACCTTAAATCGTGTACTGTTGTACTTGAAATATATGATTTTTAAAAGTGTTAACCGCTTGAAGAGAAGTACCAGGAAGAATCGTCCGAAATAATCCCATATTCAAAATTGATCTACTTCAAATGTTCCGAAACAGATTACGTCCTAACATATACAACATATGTTACTTAGGGATCGTTTATGTATGTGGAAAGAAAATGAAAGTTAAAGAAGTACACTTATTATACAGGGTGATATAAAAAACTGCAACAAAGTCAAACTCCATAATTTCATTTTCTTTTTTTAATTTTATTGAATGAAAGTAGGCAATGTCGGAAATAGCATCAACTTTTAGAATAAGTTTAGATTTGTTTGAATTAGTCACCTTTGGCACGAATTATGTCCCTCAAACGGCCAATGAAACCGTCACACGCTGCCCGAATGTTGCTCTGTGGTAAAGCGCTTGCTTGAGGTGATCGACATTTTGGAATTTTTTAGTGCCAACCTTGCTTTCCCAAAATACTACAGACACAATAGACTAACGGATTGGTATCCGGAGATTTTGGTGGCCATTGTGCGCTGGAAACGAAGCGATTTTGTAATCATTCTTGGCTGGCGCGTGCTGATTGCGATGGTGCTCAGTCCTGGTCTGGGGCCAAAATGTTTGTCCAAGGTCTGCGGCAAAAATGTTTGCGTACCCAAGGCTTTTATACACGCTTCAGAATATTTTCGCGATAATATTCGGCATTTATTCTGATGCCACGATCGATTATGTCGGCCCACACTATTAACATGGCCGGCGCTTGAGTTTTGGGGCTTGATTCTTGTTCTATGAAAATTTGAAACGAAACCTATTTTCTTCATAATTTTTTTTATTTCTATTTTCTTTCTGTTGCGGTGTAAGTTCTTGCACTTTTTGGAATCTCAATGGCTTTACCCCGAGCTCATTTTTTTAATATTTGCCGAATGGAATATTGCGATATGTCCAGCCCACGAACCGTTTTCCGGCCACTGCGACGCGGGTTTCGATCAGGTCGCTTCTTTACTTTTGGAACCATTTCTGCAAAAGTTGCCGTTTTCTTCCGTCCACTTCCTTGACGTCGGGCTACTCTATCAGTATCACGGCAACGAGCGATGGTACGAGACACAAAAGATTTATTCACATTTAAATGCTGGAGTGCTCTAACGATAGCCACTTGGTAGTGGTTTTCCTGCCAAATATAAAGAAATCACACTATCATGCAAGAATTCCATCACAAATAACTTTTTTTCTGGAAAATTCTCACCAAAATGCTTTTATACTGGAATAATTTTAACAGCTGTCAGACTCTGGGCTTTGAAATTGCAGCAGTTTTTTTCATCTCACCCTGTGTGTTAAACAAATTTTTTTTTCAAGAAATAGGAAAGAATCACACATGAAATTTTCTTTTGAAATATATAAATAGACCCTTATGTATTTAAGTCAGACTTAAAAAGTACAAAGTTGTTAAGGGTATAAAGATAAATATAAAACAAATGGCTAGAGAAAAACAACACGTTTCATAGCAAATAGGTATAAACTTTTATTTTTGATAAATACCAAATCTTTATTTTTTGCGCTATAGTATATTATTTTAAACATACAATTTTTTATATAACTCTCAACGTTCTGCACATCATTTCCCTTCTGATTGAAAGCTGAAAAGTTTTCCAAAAATAAAACTAATCTTATTGACATTTTTGTTTTCTTCAACATCTCTTTTTTTTAATTAGTACAAAAATACTATTTCCTAAATACAAAAAAATACACAGTAATAAAAACAAAACCTCAGTATAATAATAATGTAACAAAAATATAATAATAGGTAGGTAATAATAAGAAAAAATAATTTACAATTTCAGTTAATAGTTCTTTGTTTTCTGTTTGTAACCAGTTAGTTCCATTAACCGTTAAGAATTTTTGCAACAAAAGGAGAAGAAATGAACGAATTAATTGTTATCACTTTGCTGTAAGAAATAAAAATAAATTGAAAAGTCAGAAGAATTAGAATTAGGCGGCATCATCATGGTATAATGTGCAGCTAGCTACTGCGGAGCAACAACAAAATACTAAGCATTTGACGTTTACAAACAAATCGAAAAATTTAGTGATGTGTAGAGTAATATGGAGATTTAAAGATAATGTAGTAGGTATTTTTACTCAGGTTTTACTTAAACTATTTCATCGAAACATATGCGTGTGTGGTGTATATAGTATGTGTAGCCCAACATGCCATGAGCCAGCCATCTAATAATGCCAGATAATAGAAAGGAAAATAGTTACTTGCCTGCCACCAGGCATATTAATTTTTATGAACTTGATGATATTTTTTGGTTCGAAAACACCGCTTCCTACACACTGATAAACTGTTGAAGTTCATAGTAGAGAGTGGTTGGTTGTGGTGGTGGTGGTGTTGGTGGTAAGGAGGAGTAGTAGTAGTAGTGATACGCTGTTTAGTTTAGGTGCTGATATTTGATGCATTTCTTAGCGCGATAACAGTTTGCCCTTTAATGTTTTCCAAAGTGAATGATTTGTCATGAGATTTGCATGATTGCTATTGAGACGCAGTCTATTTACCTGCATGTAGTGGTTAACAAGGAATGTCAAGCCAACGCCCAGACCAAAGACCAAAATATGTGACAAATACAAATTGGGCAAGGGGCGGCGTTTGCGCAACAAGAAGTTCAATATGCTGGCCTTGCGTTCCGAATAGGGGGGATAACGTCCACTAGCGAAACAAAAAAGGAGAAAAGTTAAAAGATTTTTGATAACAATGCCTCATTATAGAATACTTACGATGACAACTTTTCACCCAAAGCCTTCAGGTTCTTGCCCAGACACGATTTCTTGTGGACAAAGGTATCAAAAGTATATTGACCATGATAGCTGCCCATACCACTGAATCCAACACCACCGAAGGGCAATGTGTCAACTAAAGAAACATAATTAAAAATACATTGTTTTATTATGCTAAAGCAGCAAAGTTAATAACATATTGTAACAGAGCTAAACCAAGAACAGTATATTTTTTATAAGACATTTTTAAAAGAAGTAAAAAAAAACACTTCGTTGCATAAAACAGATTTCGTTTTCCCAAAAAGTCCAAAAAGTATTGTAAATTGAAGTTCAATACTTTTTTGAAAGGATTAATTTGTTATTATCGTATGTTTTAAAACAAATAATGATGAGGATATTTAGGGGGAAAACAGTATTAATTACTTGCTGAATTGATTCTTAATTTAGCTCTGTTCTAAATTCAAATAGATTTAACACAAGAATTTGAAGGAACGGAACGGATAACCAGTTTTGCAATAGCTAATAAAAATTGTTTTAAATTTCTTTAAATAGTTTCCCAAAGCAAAGGGGTAATATAGAATACAAATATATTATAGATCAAGAGTTCAACATTCCGTTCATTCTAAGATTTCGTAATTACAATAAAGTTGACTGTAGAAAGCTAATGAAATTAGAAGAACGACCATTTTTATGAGCACTGCTATCATTGAAAGATGTAGCTAATATGTCTCAATGATAACGGTGTGTCCAACACAAAACGGTCGGTTTCTAGCATCATTGGCATTTAGACAAACAGCACTAGTTAAAATAAAAGAAAAATTAAGTATTATATTTAAAATAGTTAAAATAAAAGAAAATTAAGTATTATTGGTTTAATTTTCATAACTAAAATAAAATATAATTGGGAAGAAATTAGTAAAAGCTAGATTAGCTGTTGTTTTAAAAAGCTTGAAAGGGGGTAAGGATGTATTCAGACTATTAATGTTAATATAATATTTATTTCAAATACAAAGGTATATTAATTTTTATGAGAGTAGCTAAGATGCTATGAAGTAAATTTAGAATATTTTTAATTATATATTTAAGTTATAGTCAATATAATAATGTTCATATATACAAATGGAGTAGCTATGATGTAAAGTGGTTTCTTTGTAATTGTATTTCAATTGACCAATAATCAGGCTTTGATTACAAAGAAAACAATTTGACAAAACTAGGCATATACGTATTGCCATGGTAAAATCAAGAAGGTAAAGTCATGCAATCATATATTGGCAATTTTTATAACCTCCACGTTGGAAAAGAGGGTATATTAACTTTGTCATTCCGTTTTTAACATCCCTAAATATTTGTCGTAGACCCCACAAAATAAAATTCTAAGTCGATTTAACGAAGTCCGTCCGTCTGTTGGTCTGTCCGTTTATTGAAATCACAATACAGCTCACATTATTTGGCGTAGATCGTCAAAAGTTTAGCAGAACAATTTGCATTGTGTCTAGGATGGTTGGTATTGAAAATGAGATATATCGGTCCATGTTTTGGTTTAGTTCCCATATATCTATACCTCCCAATATTCGGTATTTTAATGATTTTCGCCACATTTTTTCACGAATTTGTCTAAAAATTGGTATTAGTATGTCATAATGGGTTCTAGCTCGTGTTGCGAAACATTGTATCTATAGTTCCATGTTTTTGTACAGTCCCCATATAACGGTACACGCCGATATTCGATATTTTGATGATTTTTGCCACATTTTTTGGACGGATTTGTTCAAAAATTGGTCTTTGTTGGTCATAATGGGTTCTAGCTTCGGTGGCGAAACATTGTATGTATAGGTCCACGTTTTGGTATAGCCCCCACATAACGGTACCTCCCGATATTCAGTATTTTGAGGATTTTGTCACATTTTTTCGAGGATTTGTCTTAAAATTGGTATTTGTGGGTTATAATGGGTTCTAATGTTTCCTTTACCCCAAGGTGGAGGATATTAAAAGTTCGGTCCAGCCGCACTTAATGTTTCTTTTACTTTTTTTCTTATTTAAAGTGACTTTACCTTCTTAATTTTACCATGCGTATAATAAACGATGCTAGAATCTCTTGAAAACGTTAACTGACTCATGTCGCAGCATCAATTTTTAATCCTGGAACAACCAATTTCTTTTTATTTTATATCATGGACTATATACGGTCGTCCAGAAAGCCCATTTCTCAAATGACAAGATAGTGATTTTAAACTTAGATAGAGACAAATCACAGTAGTGTGGAGGCTACTAAGTTTATTGCCCGACCTTATGTAGGTCTTGATTTCTATCTTCAAAAATTGATTCACAATAGCATGATACGTACGCTGCTTAATTTAAAAAATATACATATACATTTGAGTGTGTAAGCTCTACTGAAATTAAATTGATTTTTCAAAATGAAATATGTGCATACCTGAGAAATGACTCAAAATGTCGTTACTGCAAAAACCACCACTGCTGGTATTGGTTTTAAACAATTCAATGGTTTTCTTTGAATTGCTCAGAACGTATAAAGCCAAAGGTTTTTCTCTATATATGTTTTGTATGGTATATAGTATATGTAAAGTAGGTTGGTTGTTAGTTTTGCAAAAGAAAAATGAAATTAAAAAGAGTCATTAAAAAATTTATAACCTCAAACCCCTTATGAAAACAATTGATTGTTGGATGAGTCGCATGAAAATGTTAGAGCAAAGGTGTTAACAGCTTTTGCACGTTTTGTTAGGAAACTCTTATTCTATTTCACTATTAATAATTGTTTAAATAAAACCATGCATAGAACATTCATTCTTAGGGTTACTCGTTTCATATACCTGAACAGTGCATTATAACATCGTTACTGCAAAATCCACCACTAGTTGTCTTATCTTTAAACAGCTGTACAACTGTGTCCGATTCGGAGAACACATAAATCGCTAAGGGCTTTTCCCTGGTTGAGTGTTAAAAATCATATATAGAACATAAAGTAATGCAGGCATTTAAATGGGAATTTATACAAATATAGATTACAATAGGTGAACAATAGGTGTGTAACAGATATATAGGGGAGGATGTGATTCAAGGCCGCCACCATTACAATTAGCATACAGAAATAGAGAATACCTTCACCACAAAAAATAAACATAAATCAACTACCTATCGAAATTGTAACCAACACCAAATCTATCCTAGAGACAACTCTATTCTACAGGTTCTTGCTGGGTGCAAACTGATTCCTTCGTTTTGTTGGAGGTCTTTGGTTTTATTCTAGTTTCTTACCGGCATAATGCATGATTGTGTCGTTAAGTAACATGCCTCCTGCTCGTGTACTGTGTATGAATAAATTTTGTATTTCTGGTTCCGTTGTGAAGACATACATCGCCAGTGGGCTTTCTCTAATTGTTTTGATGTGTTACATTGTGTAGTTGGTGGACATGACACAAAACCAAACGATGAGAGAGAGGTGTTTGTTTTTTTTTTAAATTTTTATTTTTGGTTGGAGACAATCGACATGTTTGACAAATGAGACAAGAAGACAAAATAATATGAGTGTGACGATGACAAATTGACAACATTATTTTATGACAGCCTTGCTCAAAATATATGTATTAGTAGTTGTAAGAGACTCTCTCGGCCTGTGAAATCAATGGCTAATGATAATCGAGGGAGAATACGTGAGCTTTGTTTATACTTTTTCGTTCTCATAGCTGTTTTATGAATTATTTGTGATTTCTCTTCAATGTTCAAGAAATGTTGTTACTGAAGTATATTTTTTGCATCGCCTAGACGAGCAGAATGAAGACTCCTGGTATTTTGTTATTATCCAAGAAAAAAAGTATTCATGAAAACCATTGGCGCATAACAACTTTTATATGAAATAAGGTTTTTGATTTTTTATTCAAGAAATTTTTCTCGGAGAATCTTAAGCCAAATTGTTTTTAATTTTCCATATAAAAAGTTGTTGTCTTGAAATGTTTTGTTACTTTTCACCTGCTTCAAACTTAATGTAAATTGTAAAAAAAGGTGCAAAAGCCGTCTAAAGTGCAACAAAAACAACGTGGACATTGAATAATGATTTCTTGACTTTCCACATTTAGTAAACGATTAGACGCCAATATTGATGGTTCAAAATGAAAAACTGGAAAATGTGAATGATTAACCATTGAAATTGATGAAATTAAGTGAATTCTATTTCTTTTTTTTTATCAATTTTCGAATATCAAATAAGAGTATTCAAAACGCTTAAACTGTTATAGATTTTTTGAACTAAATCCTCCATATAATTACCCAAATTTAATAAAAAAATAAATCTAAGTCGAATAAAATCACAAAAATCATCTTCTAAGAGACGAGATTTAAATCTGTTTGCCTATATGAAACAAATTTGTGTCCCATCATGGAATAACATTCATATAAACTAAACTATTTCTTACTTTTTTACCTTAAGCCAATAATGACATTCATATCCAATGTTTTTTCTTCCTAAGTTTTGCAAAGGTCTCACCTTGTCGTTTACTTGGAGATAGGTAATAAAATTTCTTCTGATTTATACAACCTTATGCCTTTTCTATAAAGCCCAGAATTTGATAACCTTGTCGTAAAAACGACTCTAGTTCCAATTTCCCAAAAATAGATAAGATTATTTTTTTTTTGTGAAATAAATCCCAATTGATCCTCTATCCTCTTGTTTTGAATACTCTGCAATAAAAACTCTTTGGAAAAACCTCTATCTATACTTCCTATTATCACACAATAGCTGAAAATGACATGGAATTATTTGAAAATGCATTTCATGAATTTGATGGATTTACCCATTTGGTTGTGGAACCATGTTGACCTACCTGGAGTTAATGAATTTGATTGCATCGTAGGCACTTTCAACATTATATATGGGCAAGATTGGACCGAAAATTTCGGATTGCATCACAGGATCTTCTGCTTTAACATCTACAATAATTGTGGGTTCAATATACAGTTCATTGGCGTTATAGCTACCGCCAACGGCAATTTTGCCATGTTTCATGAGACCAAGCAAACGGCTGGAAAGAAAATTTGCAATTAATACTGTATCCCAGCATTATTTTTCTCTTCTGCAACTTACTCAAAATTGGTTTTGTTTATAATACGACTGAGATCAGGACTATCTTTGATATTATCACCATACCATTCCTTAAGGATTTCTTTGGCCTCCTTGATGAATTCTACTTCAATTTCTTTGGAACACAACACGTAATCGGGAGCAATGCAAGTCTGACCACAGTTAATCAATTTGCCCCAGAGAATACGTTTTACGGCTGTCTTTAGCTCAACCGATTTGTCAATATAGCAGGGACTCTTGCCACCCAATTCCAAGGTGCAGGGTGTCAAGTATTTGTTGGCGGCAGCGTGGATGATTTGTCCAACACGCGTGGAACCGGTATAGAAAATGTAATCGAATCTTTGTTTAAGCAGTTCTGTTGTTTCCTGGGGTCCTCCACAGACAATGGGATAACATTCCTTGAAATAGAAAAAAGTAAAAGTAAAGTTGTGGTTGCAACTAAAGCAGGCAGAGGAGACTTACATTATCCAAATACTTTGGCAATGTTTCTTGAATGAATTTGGCACAATTGGCAGCAACTTCACTGGGCTTTATCACAACACAATTACCGGCAGCAATGGCTGAGGCAACGGGCACCAACAACAGCTGCAGGGGATAATTCCAGGCACCAATAACCAAAACTACACCATATGGATCCTTGTAGATCTGTACATCGTCCATGAGATTAACCATCGACTTGGGTGGCAGCTCGGGCTTGACCCAATCATCAATGTTGTACAGAATGTTTTTGACATCATTTTTCAGAAATTCTGTTTCCACAACTAAACTTTCCTGTTTGGGACGTCTCAGATCGGCATCCAAAGCATTAATCATGTCATTTTCATGTTCTTCGTACATGCGCAACAGATTCTCCAATTGCTTCTTTCTGTTGAAATTGAGAAAAGGGATTAATGAAATATCAAATTTATTGAATACATATTTCTTCTAAATATCATAGCAACATTAGATCCAATTTAAAAACTCGATTCGAAACTGCAATGTTTCATGATTTGCAATAATTTACCAATTTATGTTTTATTAATGCAAAATACTGATAGTCATGATGACTCGGTATATAATAAGTACCTAAATTAATTGTCATTGTCAGTGATGGCAGGCAGGCAGGCTACAGACTTTGAACCGTACTTATCATGCGGAATTTAAATTAAAGGTGGAAGAAAAAGGAAAATTGAGTATGGAACTGGTAGTTTGCCACACGGCAAACTAATCTTACCCCTAGTCTACATACAATTTGAAGACATTTTTTTTGTATTTCTATGTCCGTAATAGAGATTTCTTTCTGATTTTGGGATTAAACAGGGGTATTAATTTCAAAAAAAAAAAAAAAAAAGATAAAAGTGACATTCTAACCTTCTGATGCCATTTTTTGGAGTTCGTAATGCATTTTAAGGAAGGTATTAGCTGGCCAACATTAAATTTGATTTTACTTTACTTTCTGTTATATTCAATTTCCATATGGGAAGGTCTGAACACTATGTATGAGATCGATCTATATAAGGTCGAAAAGTAAGTCCATATGATAACTAAGTTTGCGGACAAAGACATAATTGTGACTTTAAATTCGAAAAAAAGCTAAATTGGAATAGTGCAAAAACTACCTTTTTTATACCCCCCACCATTGTATAGACGGTATATTGAGTTTGTCATTTCGTTTGTAACACCCCAAAATATATATTTTAGACCCCACAGAGTATATATGAATTCTTGATCAGCATGTCCGTCCGTTTAGCGATGTCCGTCCGTCTGTGGAAATCACTCTAGTTTCCGAACGGAATGAAGTAGATTGATAAAAATTTACTCAAATGCATATTATGTCTGCAGCATTTTTGGTATTGAAAATGGACAATGTAGGTCCAGGCCTTCATATAGCCCCCATATAATGGTACCTCCCTATTTTCGGTATTTTGGTGGTTTAAGCGACATTTTTCACCGGAAATGTTTCGAATTTGGTATTTGAAGTTGGTTATGGATATTATAGTCTAAGACAGAAAATTGTCTGTGCAGGTCCACGTATTCGTATAGCCCCCATGTAACGGTACCTCCCGATATTCGGTATTTTGGTGGTTTAAGCGAAATTTTTCACCGGAAATGTTTCGAATTTGGTATTTGAAGTTCGTTATTGGATATTACAGCCTATGACAGAAAATTGTCTGTGCAGGTCCACGTCTTCGTATAGCCCCCATATAATTGTTCCTTCCTATTGTCTGTATTTTGGTGGTTTAAACTACATTTTTCACCGGAAATGTTTCAAATTTTGTATTTGAAGCTCGGAATGGATACTACAGCCTATGACAGAAAATTGTCTGTGCAGGTCCACGTCTATAGCCCCCATACAAAGGTATCTCCCGATATTCGGTATTTTGATAATTTTAGCGACATTATTCACCGGAACTGTTTCAAATTTGGTATTTGATGTTTGTAATGGATACTACAGCATAAAACAGAAAATTGTTTATGCAGGTCCACGTTTTCGTATAGCCCTCATGTAACGGCACCACCCGATATTCGGTATTTTGATTATTTTAGCGACATTATTTACCGGAATTGTTTCCAATTTGGTATTTGAAGTTCGCATTGGATATTACAGCCTATGACAGAAAATTTTATATGCAGGTTCACGTCTTCGTATAGCCCCCATATAATGGTACCTCTCTATTTTCGGTATTTTGGTGATTTATGCGACATTTTTCACCGGAAATGTTTCAAATTTGGTATTTGAAGTTCGTAATGGATGCTACAGCCTACTACCACGTCTTTGTATAGCTTCCATATATTGTACATGCACCTTTTACAAAATGTTGATAAAGTAAAATTGATAAAGTAAATTTCTCTCTCGAAAGAGGTTTTTCTTTTTGATTACAAATATATAAAAATATATCGTTTATAACCAAAATATACCAGTAAAACACTGAAATATAGAATTTCTGAAAAATATTTTAATATTTCCTTCCCTTTTAATGGATTCAACGCAGAAAAACATCTGAAAAAAAAGAAGACTAAGGCCTAAATTCACCGGCAATGTGACCTTATTTAATAGGCCTTGTTTGCTAGTAAATATTACCGGAAAAGTACCCAGACAATATATGTTTATTCAAAAAGAGGCTTTCTTTTTTTGAAAATTACACATATTTTCAAAGTTAGTCCAAGTCTACAATAACTCAGATATTTCGTTATTCCAAGATAGACCTGCTGAATCTCTGGATTGGGATTTAAAGATTATTAAAAAAGCGTTTTTTATCACAAATCGTATCCTTTATCAAAAGGAAAATCAAATGCACTTCAACGCACGAATGATTCACTCATGGCTTAGTTTTTTTTTTTTTTGCTTTCTTCAAAATTTGTCGCTTTTTTCTTTTGCATATTTGGTATTTCCAAAACAAACGTGAGAAAATACATAAATTAATTCCAATAGTCTGCACTTTAAACATGGTTTTGGTTTTGGCAAATTACTTCCGAATTCGTCAGATATTCAAAACAAAAGTGTTGGCTGCTCAAAGTCTCAGCAGATGGGGAGGGGGGGAGTAGGTTTGTTGGTAATAGGTGCAAACATAAACGAATGGATGAAAATGATGATGGTGATGCTCTGTTGCTGTCTGATTTTGTTATTTTAATAGCTGGCGTTGTTGTTGTTGTTCGTGTCGTTGGACATGCAAAATACAAAGCAAAACATGGAAATGAAGATATGACAACAGAAAAATCAACAACTAAATTAAAATAATATTTCGTCTACGAAAAGGAAAAGAAAACAAAACGGTATATCTAATGGCCAATGCTGGAGATTATCAAGTTGCTGATGGTGATGATGACGATGATGATGATGATGGGCTAGCATGCCAACTTATCTGCGTGCCATCATACAGCCGTTTGTCTGTCCACATGGGCGAGAGCAAGGTCAAGCATAGCTTAGCACAGAACAGAACAGCACGGCCAGCTTGGATCGCAACACCCAACGAAACGCTTAATCAATTAACATGTGAGTGAGTATTACAAATGTATCTACAGATAAATACTTTTTGCATGCAAACACGAATTGAATTCGATTTGTTTGGATTAATGGATTTTGCCAATCATGATCATACGTTTCTCAATCTCTCGCTCTCCCTCTCTCTCTCCACTTGAATTGGAAAAGAACTTGAGGAATTCTCAAAAATACAAAATGTTATTCAATTTGCATTCATTAAAACGGCAAGTGATATAATATCTTGAATAAAATTCTTTTGTTGGCTGGGCGGCCACCAACAAGTGCTTGGTCAGAATGCGTTTATGCGATATGCAGACCCTCATGGCAAGCCAAAGAAGAAGAAAGAAAAAAAAAACGATCAACTTTATTAAAATTTTCTAAAATTTGATTCTCTATTTTTCTGTTTCATCTATTTCCATAAAACTTGCAATAATTTTGACTTGAAATTTACTAGCGAACCTTGATTGGGACGGACTTACTTACTTCCGTTTTAGAACACAGAACAACGATGACGAAGAACGAATGCGTTTTATTTATTGGTTGGAAAAAGACCACGAAAAGATAAAATAGATTAAGCCAACTTAAATGACTCCTTTTGCGAAACATAAACATTCGATGGTAATCTACCTACCTACCTAACCCTAGCATTCGAAACAAAAAACAATAAAATCGAAAATTTATTATTTATTGTTATTAATGATCTTCAGTATTTTGGGCAGAAATTTGCCACATGCAAGCATACGTTTTGTTTAAATCGTTTTGCGTATTTCAACTAAACCACACGAAATGATTAATTGTGTGGTGGATGGAAGATGCAAAACTTCCAAACTTCGTAATAGAAAAAAAAAATCGATCCAAGAAACAGACAGCAGAACTGCATTCATTTTCATGGGGTGTTTGTTTGTATGGCGGAACAATTTGTTATAAGACATCAAAATTAAAAAAAATAAAAATAACTTTAATTTTGCCAATAATTGATCGATGTGGATGACTGCATTTCGGAATCATCTATCAAAGTTTTTGCTTCTCCATTAAATTTTAGATTAATTATATTCTTAATTGTATATAATGTATTTAATTGTTATAATTTTTTCCCATATGCTTATAAAACCTTTTGCACGCTAATGATATGTAAGAGGTTGTGTGGGGGAAAAACTTTAAGGCATTCGATTAAAAAATGTCAGATGAAAATAAGGAAATTACGTTTGATTTTACTTCTATAGCACATAACGTATATTGCGATGTTTAAAACGGACATTGAAGAAAATATTTAAGAAAACTTGGTGCCTTTTTTTTTGTAAAATTTAAAAGAAAATAACTCGGGGTAGATATAAGCCTTTTCCGAATCGTTTAAGTCATCGACATGGAAAAATTAAGAAGTTAAAGTCCTTAATAGCATGTTTCCATTGGAAACCGAACAACGTTGTTCGCTCTCAGAATTATGTACACGAATTAACCCGTTCATACGGCACGATTCGTAATTCACAGTAAAATAATTCCTTTTTTCAAAAATTTTGTTTGTTGATTTTAATGGGAAAATACGAAAATACATGAAATTCTCACTAATATGAATAGAAGAAATGATAGTTTTTCTCCCAAAGATTTATTATATGATTAATTTTATAATTTTCATTCACGTTTTCAACTTTTTGTGTAAATGTTGACATTTTGAACATATTTTTGTATTTTTCTATTTTTAAATTTTGCTGGAGAGACACTTGTCAAACATTTTTTCTGCCGATACAAAGTTTTTGAAAATATTGCCTCTTTTGTTTGCAGTTTTCTGTGGAAATTTCAACTCGTGGATAAAATGCGTACCTCAAAAGAGAGAGAAAACAAAATGTACTTTCGTTTGAATGTACATACGCCATTCAACATTGTAGTTTTCATTCATAATTTTCAGT